AAAAAAAATATATATATATATATATATAGTCATCCTGAACCTGAGACCTGCTACCCTAGCCTGCTCCTGCTGTGGAGCAAGAACTACTGTCAGGGGGTACTGTCAGGTTGGCAGGGCTGCAGGAACAGGTAGGAGGAAAAGTACTTGTTGCCATTGAAACCAAGCTCTCTCTGAGCCTATTCTGCTAAGGTTAGTCTTCTGTTTATCAGAGAGAGGTGGTTTTGTCATCTTCTAAGTAACCCCCTGGTTTTCCCTCCTTTTTCTACTGGAAACAAAAGAAAACAACCCCAGCAATACCACCAGCAGCTAAGGGTAGAGGAGGCTGATGTCCATCCCCAGCCCAGCCCCTGCTGCGGGGACGGAAGGAAGGAAGGAAGGAAGGAAGGAAATGCTCATATCCTTAGGGAAAGGCCCTGCTCGCCACATCCAAGGCGGAGGTCGCTCCCAGCACAGGATCAGAGGGAGCAGAGCCATGAGATCCATGTGTCCCTTCACGGGGTATCAGCACCACCATTTCCACAATGGTCTAGGGATGGGAACAGGGCTAATTTTAGGGAGAGGTGATAACTTCACTTAGACTGGTTGCTGTAATTAGGAGAAAAATTAATATCCTTTTGGGCAACAAGTTCTTCACATGCAGCAACCAGCAAGCTCCCTCAAAATTTAATCACTTCAACTTTGTTACACAAGCGGGTTAGTCAATGTGAGGCTGGCCACGTAGCTAATAGGGTGAATTTGCTCCCCCTAAAGAGAAAGGTGGTCTTTCTTGTGAAATCCATCTGGCTTTGAAAAGCATAATGATATTACATTTCTTTCAATCAATTTATATTCATTTCAGCTAGAGATTGCCAGCCTTGCCTCAATAGAGCACATCAGAAGCACAGCGAAGCAGTTCATTTACTTTAACAGGACCAGCACTGTAAGTCAAAGGCAGCTTTCACGTGTGAACAGCTCTCTCTGATCTAGGCAACTGTTTGCATGCAGGGGGAATAAAAAAGCGAGGAGGGGGGACATTAGAAGAGGAATTTTGTGCTATAATGAGGCAGAAATTTTCAACTTGCCATTCCTACCGACTGTTAGAAATTAGTATTATAAAGGATGCAGAGCAAATGACTGGTATGTACGGACAGCCTGCAGGTTCTTTTTTCTTATGAGTAGCCCCAGTCCAGGAATGATCCTCATTTATGCTCTGCCTAGTTTAAAAAAAAAATCATTTAAAATACTTTAAATCATTCATTTACATATTTTGGTTATTTTGAACACTTCTCAGTGCACAGATATTCTTTCATTCCTGTTAATGCTATAGCCTCTGATCCTGATGAACTTCATGAACACTTTTTTTAAAGGTGTTAATTTGTCGGTACTTTTGCTAAGCCAAACTTATCTGATATGTTGAACTATCTTCTGTTCTTTGCATATTTTAGGCAAATATGAACGTTCTAGAAGAGAGATGCCTCTTTGAAAATTCTTGTAAAGGCAGAGCAGTTGCATAAGTAAATGCAGAAAGAATACTTTTTTTTCCCCCTCCTGTGAATTTGGATAGATCACAGATTCTGTCTCACTTTTCCCCCCCTTTGTCAGAGAGAGGACCAAAGCATGCTTATGTCCACTGAAATCAGTGCCTGGAGTAATCAGTAGTCCTCCCATTTTGGCCAGTCTTTTAGTCACCAGTTCCACAGGCTAACAGTGCAGATTAAGAGGAAAATTTTAGGTACCGTGTTGTAGACCAATATCCAAGAAAATGCACAACATATGCATGCTTCTTGCATAAAACAAGCATAATAAAAATAGATAGCAATTAAAAAGAAGTATGACTAGAAAGTCTTGAAATTAAATTATCAGCAATTGAGAAGCTATGAAAATTTTATTATAAATAATAATTTATTGCTTCATAGGGACAAGTCTTGGTGAGTGGAGAAGAAATGGAAGAAACAGATATTGTTGCAAAAAATGGTCGCATTTATACTCTTGCAGGAGTCCTTATCCCACCCACAATTGTTCCAATTCTCCCACATCGGTGTGACGAGACAAGAAGTCAAGTTGCAATGGTAAGAGAATCACGACAAACCAACAGCTCTTAACTGCTCTATGTAATGCACCCCAGCTCCCTCTTTACTGCTTTCTCTGATAAAAAGGGGGGTATTTTTGGAAATTAATATATCAATGACATACAGCCACCTGGCCAGCAGTATTGCACAAATACAAGTAATTTGCAAAGAGGGAACTCGTATGAGCACGTCCTATACCACTTTAAACACATCTAGTTCTTGCACTAGCCCTTTTAAATATGTTGTCTCTCCAGTTCAACATTTTCCTCCAGTTCCTGAATCCCACCTGTGCATACAAGTACATGGTAAGCAATGTCAAGTTCCCAGGGAAACTACTTCAGATCAGTATTTTCATTTCTACTAAATACGAAGGGAAAGGAACCAGTGAGTTAAAATGTTATAGTTAAACATAATAATTAATTTTATATTAATATATTAGAAATATGTTATTTTCAGAAGCCACAATTTCCCCTAGCCCTGCTTTCTTCCAGTTTTCTTCCAACTAGGTATTACAGAATTGTTTCATATTTCAAAGGGTGGATTTCGATATACCTTGTTCAGTTTGGTAACACAGTACAGACTTTTATGCTCTGTAACATTCAGATACTACTTCTGGGAAGAAGCCTGACTATCAGACCGAGATTTAGTTTGCTGTAAGCGTGGCTCCAATGAGCTGTTACTGGACCACGTTCAAGCACATATCTGGACCAGTAACAGTTCCGGCAGAGTAATGCAAAACATTTACTATCTTAATTTACAACACTCCAGAACTACAGCCTTGAAAGAGGCTCCCAGCAGAGCTGGACAGCATCAAAATTTAATGAAGAAAACACAAGAGCTGGCACTGAAGAACTACTGCTTCTGGCAGTAACTACAAAGTGCCGAATGTGCAATACAATCATAAACCAGGCACAGCACTGAGCCGCAATCTCCAATACAAGAAGCGATCAACACTTTACAAATTCAAATTACACTCCAGTGATTTGAATTCCCTACCAGGAACCTACCTACAAACTATGTCTGACTTCAATCAATCCTAAAGCAACACGATAAAAAAATTAAAGACAAAACAAATAGCATCCATCACAAAAATTATTCCCCAAACTGAAGTCAGGAACTTTTGTCAGCTTTGAAAGCTTCATGCATAGTTTGAAATATAGTTTAATATCCAAAGCTTTAAGCAGAGTACAGCTACCAAGGAGAATACCAGAGGGAGCAGCGGCTTTGCTGTTCTTACCTGCCATCGTGCATCTTCACCACTCTTGGAAAACAAGAGCAATGCCACCTTGTAAATACTACTTGCGGTACCAGTGAAAAGTGACAAACCTTGTAGGAACTGGCAGTTGTACACACCTACAAAGTACTGTAAATCCCTAAAGATTAAACCATTATGCTAACACGTACATAGCCATGTAACTGTACCTGAACCCTGGTAATAGCTGCAGGACTCAATATCTTGCTCCACCTCCTCCCAGAGGTCATCAGTCCCACAGCAGACTTGGTGAAAGGGAATATACGTCTATGCTTCAGACACTTTGGTGAAAAGATACTGTCTTAATCCGCTGCTGAAAATGGGCAGATCGGACCTTGCGTGGAAGTGCAGACACATTTTCGTGTCCCCCCACTGCCATGTGGCAGAGGAGAGAGACAGGACTCCTGTCCTCGGGAAAAGGAGGGAGCAGGTCCACGTCAACGGCTGAGACCATCCCAGGTGGGAAAGGGAGCAAATGGGTGACACTGAGCAGCAGGGAGAGCAATGCCAACAGCGGGAAACACATTCCACAGCCATCAGCCAGATTTTTAAGTTCTAAAGGAGCAAAGAGGCACTTGCAGGATTTTTCAGAAGCGCAAACAAAGCTAAGAGTCTCAGTCAACTTCAGCCACGCCTACACAGCTTATCAAAGAGCTTTTATAATACCCAAATGTATTTGTCAAAACATGCCTGACCCACAGACCTTTAAAATGTAGTAGTGGCATTTGTACCTCAACTATATGATGCCAAAATGTTTTTGAAAGTCTGGTCCTTCATTCCTTTAAGTGCTGTACAATGTGAGGGACTACTAAATCCAAACTAGTACCCGATTCTTGCCCCACGGCTCCAGTGGAAAAAATGACATAATTCAGGTTCATGGTCACCTGTCCGCTGATTATGAAACACAGTGAAGTAAAACATCAGATGCCAGCTCTAGGAGTTATTTGAACTTGGTTGAAACACAAGACATTAGCAGTCACGAGCAACGCAGCTTTAACAGATGGAGAACCTCTCCTATGAGGACAGGCTGAGAGAGTTGGGGTTGTTCAGCCTGGAGAAGAGAAGGCTCTGGGGAGACCTTATTGCAGCCTTCCAGTGCCTAAAGGAGGCTTAAAAGAAAGATGGGGACAGACTTTTTAGTAGGCCCTGTTGCCCTTTTAGGTTTTAAACTAGAAGAGGGTAGATTTAGACTAGATATTTTACAATGAGGGGGGTGAAACACTGGAACAGGCTGCCCAGAGAGGTGGTAGATGCCCCATCTCTGGAAACATTCAAGGTCAGGTTGGACGGGGCTCTGAGCACCCTGATCTAGTTGAAGATGTCCCTGCCCGTGACAGGGGGGTTGGACTAGAGGACCTTTAAAGGTCCCTTCCAACCCAAATTATTCTATGATTCTGTGACAGACTCCATATCCAGACACTAAAAGGCTCAACCTCCCTGAAGTTATTGCATGTTAGGTCTGTCAGAGGACTCACCTTTAAAACTGCCACTGGAGTTTATATCTCCTCAGTGCTGTAATTGCCAGTCTCTGTCACCACCACATGGTGATAAAGTAGCTAGTAGGCAAAGACAACCAAAAGGTGAAGACATAAAAATAGCTATATACTGCTGGATCATAGTGGAGTACAGGATCTACGACATGGAAACAAAGAATATTTTTCTCTTCACCGCCTATACACAAGACAAATTTCTGTTCATGCTGTCCATATACGAGACTCAACTAATTTGTGTTCTTCCTAGGAAGAAATAAAAAATTCTTATAGAAGATAAGTGTGCAGACTCCACAAGACGCTCGGACATTAGTTAATATATTATACTTGGCTGAGCAAAGGATGCTAGTGCATTTGTGCCCATGCTTATCTTTTGTTTAGGAAGCTTCCAGTTCTTTAAAAGAAAGGAGTGGGGGAAGGACAAATGAAGATAAAAAGAGGAAGGTGGAAATGAACAGCCACTCAGCAAAAATCAGAGCCAGCAGATATAGCCCTAATGCAGCTGTTTGGTTCCAGATCGATGCTGTAACAGTCATAGAACAGACGTACTTAAAATTTACAGGGCATATCATCCATAAGTATGCATTTCAGTAGTTGGTATAATGCCTTTTCAAATGACTATCCTTATTGTTTCCATCTAGGGTGTCTGTACAAGTTGTTTATCACATGCATTGGCTCCCTGTCCGCCAGATTCAAAGCCCATCGTAAGTGACATTTCCTGCCAGATTCTGCAGTTGTACAAAATGCATAGAGTGAAGGGGTCGCCATATGGTCCCCGTATGTTTATTACTGCTCTCCCAATATTGTGAGCAAAAGAACCAGATACGAATACAGGAGACTGCGTAAAAATACAAATATAGGCAGTACTTTAGTCTCTTTTTGGAAATGATTGAGGCATCAGGTAATGTCAGCATTATTTTGTTTGCCGTTGCAAGGTCCCTCATAGACTTCATAGAAGCTCTGACTCTTTTCCCAGGTAAAGTAACATCTATTTCAGATAGGCTTTGGCAGAAGAGAGAGGTGAGGAATGAGAACTACTATGATTATGCTTTGAGAGTTAGTAAACGAAAAATAGAAGAGGGATACCTGTAAAATAGACCTCACCCCTATTAAAAATTTCCTTTTGATTAAGCATCATCCCAGAAGTAACTGTCTGCAGAAGCAGCTTCAGAAAGGATTGGGAATCTCCCACCTGCTTGGCATCTAAGAGATGTAAATCTGGCTGCATGTTTCTCCACATAAAAAACTCATGTCTAGCCACCACGGGAATTTTATTCCCCATGTTATAAAAATTCACTGGTAGTTAGTCCTATATGCCATATTTAGCAATAACCTATATGCCGTTATTCAGTAACAATGAAAAGAAAGTTGATGTTATGAAAAAGTACATAATTTAATAAATTTTTTAAATACAACACTATAGCAAGGTGCTTTCTGTTCTCCAGTTAAATTATATTGCAATATTAAGACTGTATCACAGAAGCGTATGTTGCCTAGAAATACTAATGTTTCCATTTTGTGCATGTTCCAGCCTTTCTCAAAACGGAGGTGCATTATTGAAGGCCCAACCTTTCAAAAAACTGGCTGTGCTAGATCCTGCAATATAACAGTAAAGGTACAGAATTACAGTTCCTTGAGGTGAAATGTACATAAAGGTTTGCCAAAGTGTTGTCTTTTGCACTGTGAACTTTCCTTTTGAAGCTGAGAGACATTTGGAGATGTCCATGTAGTTTCCATACCCTTCTACAGGGGGTTGAGAGGAGCTACTGTAAACCTTGGCACAAAATACCAGGTACATTTTTGCCAGTATCTTTTTACTACCCGAAATAACTCCTCTCCATGACGCACGCTCACACCAGCACCTCCAGTGAGGTTTTTTAGCTGCCATACATTATTGACAACCCTCTCTTACTCTGTAACTCAGGAGTTTCCGCATAAGACTCCAAGCCCAAATGTTGTTGCTGCCCCATAGAGCTTCACCCACAAAGAACGGGACAGCTTGGTCCCCCCTGGTCCCAGCCCCTCCTGTCCCAGGACTTCACACAATATTGGGTAACAATAAATGGGAAACGCTCCCAAGAACCATGTTCCATTTGCTCTGCTTGGCAAGTCTAGTCCTCGCAGAAGTCGTTAGTTCCTGAGAAGTACTTAAACCTTTCTGGCTCCTGGGGCTCCTAAATAGGCTTCTGCATTTCACGACCACCATTAAGTAACTTAAAGAGAAGTCTACAAACCCGTAAGCTTTGGGAGCCTTTTTCTAATCCCTATTTCCCTGAATCACAGGTAAATGAGCGTTTTTTTTCTAATGCACTTTCTGTGCTCTTGATAAATAAATGGATCGAGCAGCCAGTTCATGAATAAAACAAAAGATGCAGCTGAGAAAAACATTTAGGGCTGTGTAGTGGCTAAATCCCACACTGGTGCAGAGGGGAAGGAGGAAGATCAAGGAGGCACGTCTAGCTTTCACAGCATCTCCCTGGGGTGAAACACATCTTCGAGTTCCTGATCTCAGATGCAAAGGAGACTGCCGGCCTCTGAATTGCACCGCACTCCCCCTGGCAAACACGAGAGTGCACACAATACGAGCAGACACACACAGGCACGCTCGTAACTGGTGACAGGACAGGGATTTCTAGCTCTGATGAGTCTGATAAGAGCAAGGGAAGGATCTGGCAGCCTGTGCATCCCCTCTCAGGGGGATGCACCTCCTGGTTTTAAGATGGCCATTGCAGAGGTGGTTCTGGTTCAACACAAGCCTTTTAAGAGCCAGCTACCTCTACAGGCTTCTGCCAGAGGGCCAAAACACGATGGAGAATTGTCTTTTGTGCACTGCCTCCCCACTAAAGCACTGGAAAAGAGGATATTTGCTTTATTTCACAGGAACCAAAGTGTTGCAAAGGCTTCTTTGGCCCTGACTGCAGTCCGTGTCCGGGAGGTTTCTCCAAACCCTGCTCAGGAAACGGACAGGTAAGCAGAGCATCCAGCAACACCCTGCGCTCCCGTGCTGGGAGGGACAGGCTGTGTCCCAAAAGCCCCTCAAACACTTCTGCACAACAGGAGTGTAGGCTCCACAAGAGCTGCACCTGCCATTTATGTCCAGTGAATTTCAGGTTCAGTTATACGGAGGAGGGAAAAATGAATCGGTCTCCTCTCAGATGTCCAAATTGCAGGTTTCTGTGGTTCCAACACACAGGCAAGGCTGCGGCTGGGTGACCCACTCTGATACTTTTACTTTGCACAGCACAGGATAATGACCCAGCTCACTATTCTCACTTTAAAATTGCAAAGGAAGGTAGAATACACAGCAGGAAAGTACCTGCACAAGGACAGCTTTTGCTTTGAAGCACCTTCTTCATCAAAGCTGAGGTTCTTCCTGGCAGTCACAGTCATAATATGGACAGGCATACAGTCTCTTCTCTGGGGGAAGGATAAAGGTTTATTTCAATTCATAAATAGAAATCATGTCTCTTCCATATCCCAGTGCATGGATGGTCTGGATGGAAATGGGACCTGTGTTTGTGCTGAGGCATTTCAAGGCTCACACTGTCAGTTCTGCTCAGACCCTGGCAAATACGGACCTCGGTGTGACAAAGGTAAGTACAGCCGTACTGCCTCAGCGTAAGAGCACGGGCTGTTTCTTTTGGACCCTAGTAACATTATAGTAGGAGTTAACTGCTCACTAAACAGTCTCTGTGACGATGAGCAAGATGTCTCTGGGGTACTTCATTTCTTATTTCAAAGGGATACATCACAAGCCCAGAGTCAGTGAAAATCTGCCCACTGACTTAATTGGGCTTTCTGCAGGGGCCATAGCTTGCTTTATACTAATTCATCGTTCTTTTAATTTCTGTCTCCCTCACATAAGTAACTGAAAAGAAAATCTTTGCTATTCCATTCCCATCTGGTATTGCCCACAACAGATTCTGCCTGCAATGACAAACATATGTAACCTAAGAACAACTAGATCTATAAACAGATTGTGTTTAGGACCACTTAATAACCGTCCTTACCAAATAATTTCTGATCTATTGAATAGCTTATAGTTCTAGCAGTCATCTTCTATATACTGACAGATAGAATCCCGCTATGTCAAACCATCCTACATTTGAGAGTCTACAGAATATACAACATCAAATTATATTCCCCCATCTACAAAATCATTTTTAGTCTTTTTTGCTATGAAACAGCCCGTCATTCATGAAGCACAGCTCAATTCAAGGTTCAGAGGTACATGGACAAAAACTGAGAGACAAATTCCATAAGAAAAGGTGGTATTGCCTAAGCTCCAGTCCCGCCAAAGCAGTACATGTTAGCTTAACTAGTCACCCCTGGCACTTCTTGGGATTCTAGAAGGTTCACCTACTATGTCCTTTGAGCACATTGCTGTGCCTCCCAGCAGCACTAATGAGCCCAGCCCCAGCAAAGTGCTGGTAGGTCTCTGCTGCTGCTCTCTGTACTAGCCTAGCATTGTGCAATTTATAGGATTGTGGACTCAGTATTAAAAGGCTTTCCATATCACTGAAGGTATGCCAAGGTTGTGCAATAAAATAACTTTAGCCTTAATAGCCTAGGACATAGTATTTTGCTCCTACTTCTCTGAAGTACTTTGAAATTCATTGATAGATAAGTGCACTATAAAGACACAATGGATTTTAAATAGTTACCCATAAAACACACTTGAAAAGACATGCATATGATAAATAAATAAGTCCCCCAACAAAGTGAGACTTTAAAAATAAAAAAGTTTAGATTCTGGGAAAAAAAGGGGGGACCTGATTCATAAGAAAAGCTGCGTAAGGATAGATGCCTTTTACCACTATGGAATTGCACATTGTAATTTATCATCTCTGGTAGAGTGCCTCTGCATTTATGGGAAGTGTGACAACCGAATAGACAGCAATGGGAACTGTCTTCCCGGATCATGCAGAAGTGGATACACGGGGAAACTCTGCGATAAGCAGATTGTTCCCTGCAAGCCCTCCCTACTGTTCTGCCATGCACATGCAGACTGTCAGCTTAGCGACGGTGCGGTGAGGTAAGTCAGTAACTTGCATTAATTAATATTAACTATACTGCAGCTCTTTCCCATTTGCTTGATCAAAACAGCGCCTTGTAGCAGTACACAACCGTCAGCCACTAAAATACTGCTATGCAGCAAATAAGCATGAGCATGTACCGCATCAACCTTGAGTTGCAAGATAGTAATTAAGAGTTCTCAATACCCTATTCTGTACCTTATATTTAACACTGATAAGACAGATGCATACGGATCCAACCCTTGGTAGGAAGGCAGCCTTCCTACCAACAACTACAAAGGCTCTTAGGAATCTCTTATTTCTAACCATCCCCTTAGTGAATTAGGAGTTTGAGCCTTGCTGAAAAACAATGACATTCTCAAGCAGTTTGAGGATAGATAGCTCACTCCGGTCAGCTTAGGCAAGATTTGCGTGCCATCACATCGCAGAGTTCAGCACAGGCTCTCCAGTCCCGACATGAGTGGTCACAAAACTCTGTTACTGCTACAGCTGCCTTGCGCTTCCCTCACACTCACCTTCACAGGCAGCAAGTTCGCCTCTTGCCGCAGTGTATTCGTAATGAGTCACCACTGAAAGAAGGATGGGGGATGCTGCATAACACGAGTCCTTAAGAAATTCCCTCCAATATAGGTTAATCTTGGTGGGGGACAACCCAGGGAAACAGGGGGGCTCGCTGTCTTGCATGCATTTCAGGGAGAGAGCTATCTTCTGTGTCACTGAAAGAAAGAGCAACCCCAGCTCATAATTAATTTAGAGCTATTACCTCACCTTTGTAAAGATCACATCAGCACAGAATTAATTTCACTCCCCACCTCACACCCAGAGAATAGATTGCTGATTTGATTTAATTAACCCAGCCAATATTTTGGAAAAAAAACCCATAACGTATGCACTTAGGTTACTTGCACCATGAATCCAAGGTTACCAGTTTTAATCTGCATATAAAGAGCATGTTACAGTGGAAAACAAATCGCTTCACTTTACACCTGACCTATCCCTTCTAACACCTCTCTCCTCCTCTTGTCTCTACAGCTGTGTTTGCAAACCTGGCTACGAGGGAGATGGCGTGAGCTGCAGCAAAGTTGATCCTTGTGCTGCTTTAAACCCAGGTGGCTGCAATATCAATGTAAGTACGTGCTTTTCCCACAGAGCCTGACATCATCGAAAAGCAAGCAGTAAGGAAGGTTTGGCCAGAAACTTTTGCAGGACTAAGAGTCACAAATTTCACTGCGGTTTCAAGCTCTTTCCCCAGACAGCAGCATCACTATTGCTTAGACAAGCCTCACGCCTAAAGCCAGATGCCACCTAAGTGTCCTGAACAGATGCCTCTGCATCCCCTCCAGGCCGAGTGCATTCGGGTGGGCCCAGGAGAACACACGTGCGTTTGCCAGGCAGGATGGACAGGCGATGGAAGGGACTGCTCAGCCATCAACAACTGCCTGCTGCCCACCGCCGCAGGGTGCCACGAAAATGCCACCTGCATATACGTTGGGCCAGGTCAGGTATGTCCTCTCACATTCGCGGCCACCTTCGGCACTAGTCCTCACCCATTTTGCTCTGCTGGTGCTTCCTACCCTGTTTTCTTCCCCAAATACTCCTCTCCCTCCCAGCCACAAGGTTATTTCCACACAGTGCTCTCTACCCAAAGCGGTCTCCTTCGGTTCCCATCCCAGTGCTCCCTCCCTCCTACGTGGTGGTGTTCTGGCAGCAAATACTTCTTAGTAAGTGCATTAGTAGATGTTAGGTATAAAGGTCTTCTGGAGATATTAATCAGTGTCATTCCACTGAAGTAAATGGAGCTATGCAGAAACACAGACTAACTCACCACGTCTAGAATATGCACACTATTTTAATCATTTTAATGAATTGTCGTGTTTTATTGAAACGACAGAATGACTGCAAGTGTAAGGATGGATTTCGGGGGAATGGAATTGAATGCACACCCATAAACTCATGCCTGGAACAAAATGGAAAATGCCATCATCTGGTGAGTAATTAATCATTCCCTGAACAAAGTGTTCAGATACATATCACAACTCGCCTCCTGCGCACACCATAGAATTTCCTTGCCATTTCAAGCCTGCAATTGCTGTTTGAGTTGGAACAAAGCTTTCCAAGCAGTGCTACAAGCACCAAAAATGCTATGTGAAGCATGTCAGTATGGTACGTGCACTAAGGACAGACTGCAAAGGGCTGCTTCCAATTCTGCCTGCACAGAAGGACTATCTCGAGGCTGAATAAATACATGCTGCTTCTCTACCAGCAATTACAATTTGGACGCGCTAGCTTATTGGGATGTTTACCCAAGTCACACATTTCCACGCAGGTATCTATCAGCTTTATCAGTAGCTGCATGTGTTCAGCAGACCTGCAGGCTCTGTAGTGTCTGCAAGAGCCGCACCAGCCTCAGGCAGGACACAAGGACAGAGCTAAAGCAAAGAGCATCGGGGGGCAGGGGATGGATCTGCCATAGTCGGGTGAAGGAACAGGGCCGAGTTTATGTAGGGAAGTACCAAAGGGTGGAGCAAGGGTTTAGATTCCTATAGACATAGTGCATGGCGGGCAGGTGAGGGTGTTAGTGCCCTCAGCTAGTGGAGTTTGTCCTACAGGAGAGTGAGGACATCCATGGAAGATGGTAAGAAGATCCTCTGTGAAGTTTATGTTTGTATGTGAATGGGTTTCAGTAAGGGGCTTTACAGGCCATCCTTGCTCTTGAGTATTTGATGAATTTTCTCTTTCTGGTTCAAAGGCAACTTGTCAGTTTGATTCTTCTGGCGGCTGGGAATGTGTGTGCCCAAAGGGCTATGAAGGAGACGGTAGAATATGCTATGGAAATGCTGCAGATGTAAGTAAGATGGTCATCTCCTCTGAGCACAGGACCTACTGCACAGTTCTCACACTGGATCTTAACCAGAGAAATAGCAAAGCCATTATAAACAGTTAGAAAAATATGATGCCCACCAGCGCTATCTGCAAACAGTGTTCCAACTGGAGACACTTGCCTGATAGAAGTGAACTGTTGTGTTTAAAAACATGGCTTGGAAAGGGGCCTAAGGGATCCAAGCATATTTCTTTCTTAAGACAAATTGAAAAATGCCAGCCCCAGGGGCCTAACCTGCAGAAGTGCTAAGCACTCACCTCCCAGCTGGGAACAGCGAGCACCCAGCTCTTCTGAAGTTCTGCCTTGAGGTCTATGTCAGTGGAAACTGTCAATGTATCATGTTAAAACGAACCATGCTGACCAGCAGGCAAATAAAACCAAAACAACTAAATTGATGACATAAATATGCATTTAACAGGATAGGAAAAATGAAAGTGTCAGCTGTCCCAGCCATCGGCAATAATCTTACATAGCTCTTAGCACTATCTGCCATCCCTGCTCATATCCTCATCTATCTCAGTTCTAAGTACTGTGGCAGAATAAAGGTTCTCCACTTGCAGCATGATGTGCAAGACGCTGTACAAATACCAACCAAAACAACATACCTTCTTTCTATTGATTTTGCATGCAGTTAAGAAAAGATTTAGGTTTAGATTCCCAGAAAATTTACAGTTAGCCTGGGGTCAGTACATGTTACATACCAAGGTCAGGTACACTTAATGCACTTAAGCAATAGATGGCCTGATTTTCAAGAGTTGGTAACTCACCGTTCCCATTACAGAAAGCATCAGTACTAGAAAAACATGAATGTCCTCCCTTTTCACATAAACTGAAAACCTCCTCCTCCATGTCACATCAGCCAGGCCAGACACAGTGGGTTACACCACAAGCTACAGCAAGAGTACTTTGGTACAGCTAATTATAGCTTACATACTCATTGCTCTTTTTCTTTCCAATCAGGAGTTATCTACTCTATCAGAAGCAGCTGCATTTAACCAATGGATTAATGTAAGTACACTTCATGGTTGATTTTTTTAGTATGTTCAAGTCTGCAGAAATACATGAGCCTTGTAGCCTTTACAAAACGGGAACCTCACAGCAATGTTCCCATCCCAGAGCAGAGGCCCAAGCTCTGGAGAGGCATCGGAGTGCCTCTCCCACCTGTCACGGCAGGGCTGATCATCTGGTTCCTTATTTCTGCCTGAAAACCAAATTCTGATCCCAAATTCAGGCAAATAAGGAAGCTCCACAAGCAGAAGAGCTAGTTACAAGCCCACTTTCGGAGGCAGGGGGCTGCATAAGCCACGACTAGCTCTGTACATAAATACACTGTAGTCCAGATGACCAGCAGCAGGGTACAAGTAGAGCTGGAATATGCCCCCTCCTCTTGTGCAATAAAACCACAAGCAAGTGGAGAGGGAAGGCAATGCCCATTTTCTCATTTTCACTGTGCCCTGGAGCAGGAAAATGCAACCGTACAGCTGGTCAGCGTGCTGCTGCCACGCAGCAAGCAAGGAGGAAAAAACTCGGTCTGTGCGGGCTTGACTGAGGTGCAGAAAATGAAGGAAGAGATTAGCTTGTTTGGCTCCAGATTAGGGAAGAAACACCAAGTTAGATTAAAAAAAAAAAGTTCTAGATAGATTGATTGTCACAATCTACTTTTTATTTTCACATGCTATCATCTGTTACTAATGAGAGGTCCTACCCCACTGTGGTTGGAACCGTACGAATAAAGACCAGAACCATTTTCTCCCAAAAAGCTTAAAACCTAAATATAAGAAGTATAGCGCAAATACATGGCAAACAGAAAGGAACAGTGGTATGTTAATGAATAGCATCAGAAGCAGAAGTCACAGCGTATTAGCTGCTTTCATGCTTTTCAAAGTTAGACGGCTTGGGGATCATTAAAGCACGCAATTGCAACAGGGACCTCAGGGAGCTGCTTAGCAGAGGGGCCAGTGTGGCTAATTTAAACCAGGGCTCAGATTGCAGCACTGGACACTGTACAGAGAAACTAATGAGGTTAAAGAAATCAGCACAATAGGAGAGGCTGCTCACCTGCTAATGTGCTCTTTAGATAATGAAACAGGAGGGAAAAATACAGGTTCTGTATAATATATTAAAACAGGGATGTGGAAGTTTCTGCTACACTTCAGAGAAATGGTTCCCCTTAAATTAAATAATGGTAGCTACAAACATGAGCTAAATAGGTGTAGTTTTTAACTTCATACTTGAGCAGGAATGTGATGTTTACCACTTTTTATAACCAAATTTTTTTCTTGCTAGTCAGGAAGGATGAGAGAGGAAAGTCTGTTGCTATTTCTATGTTTAAATATTTGGAAGGCGACAGTGATGATAGCTAAAAAGATAGATGGTCTTAACAGAGACAAAATTCCCAGCTATTTAAGGGAGCCGAATCCCTTCTTGACTTAAAACCCAGTATGGGTATTGAAGGACTATCCAAAACAAGCCAGCTTCCAGGCAGCATACCAGATGCAAAAAGTAGAACCCAAGCTCATATTGCTCCCTCAAGTTTTGCAGTATCAAAAATGGCAAGTTGTGGAGCCTGTGAAAAGTTTGGAGAACCACATCTTCAGCAAGATCACATTCAAATCTTTAGCTCTCCTTTTTCTACCCCACAAAAAAATCCACGCAACTAGAAAAATCCTCTCCAGTGGAGGCTCTCTCCATCCTTAAGGCAGATCAACATATGGAAGATGAATCAGCCCATGCACACTACAGAGCCTACATGCCCATCTAAAATTAGAGCTGTCAGCAGCAAGCCCCACTGCAGTGCTAGTGGGCACAGATATCCATTGGACATCTTGAAAAATCCCAGCCATGTTAAATAGCCTTATTCCAAATGGGAACATTGTGTCATGTAGGTTTCTTATTTCACGGTTCATAATCCTTCTATCTATTAAATAGCGCGGAGTGCTCTGTAAGAGCAGGTTACTTGAAGTTATCAGTAACCACTAGTATTTATCACCATGATTATTTTTTTTTTAACATTCAAGTGCATAAAACAGAATCCATGAGACAGACTAACTTTTGTGGGAGGCTTAAGTATTTCATAATAAAAAACAGTTCTGACCTAAACATTGCTTCTGCCCTTTAAATGCTGACAATCTATTCTGTAAAAAATAGCCCCTCATTTACCATTTTTGTACAGGTCTAAGTAGTTTTGTTCAAGTCATTGCTCAGTATAATAGTTTTTCCTCTCCAGGCTGGTCACAAAGCACGTCACATATTCCACTTTGCTAAAAAGTCACCGGCTGCTATTTATAGATCGTCCTTAAGATGAATTATTTTCCCCTCTTTACTTTCATGCAGGAGGCTGAGATAAACTCAGTGTTGTCCACCACCTCAAACCTAACTGTCCTTGTGCCTTCTCTCCAAGCAATTGAAAACATGGATGAAGATGAGAAAGCCTTTTGGATGTCAAAGAGTAACATCCCAACTCTACTGAAGTACGTTAATGGTTTGGCGTTTGGGGATTTTTTTAATGAATTGCTTTTTATGCCAAACAAGCCTTTGGTTTGAAGCCACTAGAGCAAGACAGCTATTATAATTTTAAGGGAGGGACATAGGATCCCCCTTCTAGTTACAGTGGTATAAATCTCTGTAGCAACACCACTGAAAACAAAGGCATTATTTGTATTATGTCAGAAACATTTAAAGGCCAAGCTAAGATTAGAACATAGCTGAACTAGGTATTGTACAAACAATTCCTGCTTTGAACCACAGTTTTAGACACACTAAGCATATTTATCGGGGGGGGGGCGGGAAATGCAAAACCTTCAAATCCAGTTATTTTCCTTTAGGTATCATGTATTGACAGGAGCTTACAGCTTTGCCGATTTCCAGAATTTATCAACCTCTGACATGCTGCCAACATCTCTACAGAGCAACTTCCTACACTTGTCTAAAGAAAATGGGGTGAGATGACCTGCAGACTACTGTGGTATCATACACCAAACCCTGACCATCACTGCCGCCAACTTTCTTGTATTACAAAACCACACAGACATCGTGTATCTGTATTTTAAAAAGACCATGTCATAAAATTAAAGGAATAGATCAATTATATTGGGCCCTCTGGGAGAAACATTAACTTGATTTTCTCCACCACTTTACCTAACTGAAATTTGCCCACAGTATTATTTATTCCTGATGTCCCAGTAGCTGCTGCAAATGCTGAACAGTCTTGTAGCCAAGTGGAAGCACAGTCCCTGCCTGGAGCAGCCTGTGTGAACTAATTTAAGACAAAGAGCATCAGGAAAACCCAGTAATTTATTTTAGGGAACTGGGAAGGTAGGAGGAAGCAGTGATACTGCAGACATGTCCACATGTGCAACTTGATAGTCCCAAACAACCCAAAGATATTTGTAATTGTAAATAACTACAACTAACAGCCCTTCCCCCTCAGCCTTTTTATTAGCACTCCATGTCCTGAGGAGGATTTTCTGGAAATACATATGGCATTTAAGCACTTCATCCCCATTAAGGGAGGGAGAAGTTCCCACCACCAGGGAAAATCATAAAAGGGGTCCTCCAAGGCTGCACAAGAACAGGAGGGCGTGAATTGGCACAGGAGCTCATCCTGCTGCAGGGGGGGTGTAAGCACACCTACCCCGAGTCACCACCCCAGCGCAAAAAACCCCACGGCTTTGCCAGTCTGCACACTGGGAACAGCAGAGAGTCCCAAAGTCACCTCTCCTGAGGGTAACCCATCCTCTGGTGCGAGCGGAGCTGTGGTGGAGCCCCAGGCAAGCGTTTGGGAGGGTGGGGAAATCCACAGCACGAACCACTGGGAAAACAGCATCACTGCGACGCAAAAGCAAACCCTCTCTCCTCTCCCTCTTTCAGAACCTCACCCTCGAGGGTGCTCATATCGTGGCTGGTGACATCGCATCCACAAATGGGATCATACACGTTATTGATAAGGTATACGACCCTATAGGGAGGAGTTGTTCCTCTGCGCCACAAACATTGGAAAATAATTAACAGCTCTTGGAAAAAAAAAAAAAAAAGTATTTGCACAGAACAGCATTTTGTCCTGCATCTGATCCTCGCAGGTGCAACCACAGCACATGCGCTGACGCGGGGTATCTGCTCCCTTTGCAGGTCCTGACCCCCCTCCGCAGCACCGTCATGCCGAGGCTGCTGGCCCGCCTGGAGCAAATGCCCGATTACTCCATTTTCAGGGGCTACATTATTGTAAGCTTTCACATCGTTTTAAGAACAGAAGCAGTTCTCTGCTTTGTTTGCATTTGGACTGGTATCAGACTATCGGTGGTCATTCTAATTTGTTTTTATGTGTTTTCACAACAGCAATACAGCCTGGCAAATGAAATAGAAGCTGCAAACACGTACACAGTCTTTGCCCCAAATAATGATGCCATCGAAAATTACCTAAGGGATAAAAAGCCTGCTACTCTGGTATGTATTACTCACAAGACTTGTCTTAACTCAGTATCTCATCTCGGTTTTAAGTGGATGGATTGAGAGGCCAGAGAAATAGGAAGAGGCATTTGTTTTCCAGAAATCCAGTAAGTTTGGTTTTGTTTTTAACACCAGAGACGGTGATGAGGGATGGATCCACCTATATTTTCCTGGCTTGCTGGAAGAGCTTAGCTATTATGGGTTTTGTCATTCTCTAGATTAAAACCATGCTGATAATATCCAAGACGTTTCATCAGTAGACCTTTTTTCGTTGCTCTTGTTTTTGCAAAGATCAGTACAAGAATGACCAGGAATAACAAAGAAATGAGTTTCCTAGGTGAACAAGTCCAGTCCCTTGTCATCACTAGCACCCCCACCATTAATAATGCCACAAAATATTCTGACTCTTTCTTAAAACTGTCCAGATGCTTGCCCTGTCACTCCTGCAGGAACGCTATTGCCTGGCCACTTTCTGCAGACCATTTCTAATCCCAGTTTACAAGCACCATTGGCCAGTCCCAGGGCTCACAAAAATTTCCTAAAAAAAACCCCATTGCCGATGCCCACTCCCAGGAGCCCCACACCAGGACCATGCCTGACCTGGCCACCAGTTCCTCCCACCAGCGCAGACGTGTCCATCCCACCTCCCCTGCCGACCTCAGTCCTCCTGCCCAGAGCTAGTTTATATTATTTTGACAGTACACCTCTGGCCAGTTTATAGTCCTTTATTCTTATGCCAAGAACATGCTTTAGCTGAAACAACTTTCTCTGGCATTTGCACCCTGACGTATTTACGAGGCCAAACAGCCTCCTCAATCCTGTCAGTCTCCTCCCAAGATAAGCTAACCGTTTCCTGCGTCATCCCAGCGCCTTTCTTCATACTTGCTCCAGTTTGAAACAGCTTTATCGAATGCACATATCGAGAGCCACACCTTGCAGAGGAAGCTTCGCCCATCACTTGCTCAATGACATTAATACTTCTCTGCCTCTTCCATAAATATTTACTCTGCCGCACTCTGTCCCTGCTTTCATGGTCTCCATTTATGACCAGGAAGCTGAGGAGCACAAGGTTCAAGTGATTCGTCCCAAAACATTTACCACCAACCGGCAGACCCACGGCAAAAGTCCCGCTTGCTGCCTCACCGGAAGAATTCATACATGATTAAGTTACATCTGCTCAAATGACTTTTGAACGCTATTTTAGTTGTTTTGTGACACGATATCGTCATTTCCACATCACTGTAAGAAGCATTTCTAACAAACTTTGAGAGACACATAGGACATCAATCCCATTGGACTCAGGTTACACACACAGAGAAATCCTTTCCATTTCCACTACTTAGCAATGTTTCTTCTGTCTTTCTTCCATCCTCTCAACCTTGCCTGGTGTGGCAATCTGACAAAGAAAATCAGAAAACAGCTGTAAGGTTAAGCCTGCCTAAGCCTTATTCTCTTCATGAAACAAACACCTTGGGAGAACTCTGCCGCAGAGGGGAGAGCTCGGCACAGGGAAGAGACCCCATTTCTTGGCCTTGATGAATCAAGGTTTTGTTCTCACTCTGCTGGTGATTAAAGACAGAAATGAAGATGGATGAGACAGACTTAACTTTTCCTCCAAAGCATCCAAGTTGGGAGGATTAAATAGGGTTGGACACTGCTGGAGATTAGCTCTATCTTAATTCCCACCTTCTTGCCTGCAAATATTTCTTTTTCAAATCCGTGGAAATCAAAATAGAGTGGGTCCCACCCTAAGAGATGTAAAGACCACTATTTCACCCTATGGGCAAAGCCAGGCAACGTCACAGATCTTGCAGCCTGGGGTTGCTTCATGCTTTCACACACTTTGAAGGAGTGGAAGAGCGAGGATTGACCATCCCCATGGTCAATAAAAGTTTCATTACGACAGGAATGCAGACTCTCCACCATAGGAAATGGGAAATAACCTGCTAGCTGGAGAAGCTTCTCCTTAAATTCAGGCAATCTATATTTGGCTTATACCCTGTGGGAAAAGCTATCCCTAATAACTTTTCATGCTTTGTTACGTAACTCTGAGTTTAATTGTGTTTGCAGGACGAAAGCCAAGTCCGCTATCACATTGTGCTGGATGAGAAGCTGCTGAAGAACAACCTGCACAACGGCATGCACAGGGAGACCATGCTGGGGTTCTCCTACCAGGTTGGGTTCTTTCTCCACAACGGCCAGGTAATGTTGTCTCCACTTGCTTGGAGAAACAGGTTTCCTGCTTTTTACGAATCCAGCTTCAAAATTAAACTAACATGCAGTCAAAAGGAGCAGTGCACCCCACATTAGCTTCTAGGATGCAACAGCACAAAAGTTGTCACTCAAATGCAATGCCTTTCTCAGACCTGCTTAATTCAAAGTCACCCTTGAAGGGATCTTTGATCGAATTTAATTTCAGTTATACTGTTCACATTTAGCATTGCATTTTAGAAGCTATTGTGGTGAACATGCATCTCCAGCAGCTACAAGCCTGCATTGCAAAGCAGTCATTAATCTGACTTCCAAGAGCTATTACAAAAATCTGCCTTCAATTATAAAACATTAATTCTATTTTCTGTGGATTTACTCCACTTTCAACCTTACGAGCTCGAAGCGTTTGGCAACAAATATGAATTGCCTTTCAACACCACTCATGGGAAAGTCAGGCAAAGCAAGTTTAAGTGACACACCCAATTCAGTGGCACAGCTGGGAAAAGAACTTGGTCCTCCTCCTCCTCCTCCTCCGGCCCAGAGCTCCCTCTGGGCACAGGCAAAGGAAGACAGAAACTTCTCACCAAAGCAGTTTCAGCCCTGTTGTTTGCTCTGCCCGCAGCAGAGCCTTGGAAAAGCGTCTGCTTGTGGGGCTGTTGTTGGTGTGGGCACGATGGGAGCGTGGGGTAGCAGTGAGATGATGAAAGCCCTCCTTGAAGGAGCAGCTGCTGGGAGGGCTTCCCTGAAGCCCATCATCCCTCCCCAGACAGCAAACCCAGCTCTTGGCTTACTTTAGGCTCCTTCTTCAAAACCTTTACACCCCACAGTGGAAAAAGCTGCTCTGCCAAATCCTATTGCTAAGAAACTTCAACAGGCTGCATGACATCTCATGCCCTCCAGTCCAGTGAAGCTCTTAAATGCAACTGGGATGTGAGCAAGTGCTTGAAGTTAACTGCATTCTTCGGTTTTCCCTAAGCAAGGCTTGTAGGTTGCTCCTCCTTTCACTTGCTACTGCTCTAGTTGCCATATAGCTACCAAACAGCTCTGCTGCTTTCTAACTGATGGCATTTCTTTTGCAGCTATTCATAAACGATGCTCCTATAAGTTATACAAATGTTGCAACAGATAAAGGAATTATTCATGGATTGGGAAAAGTCCTGGAAATCCAGAAGAACAGATGTGATATTAATGATACCGTGATCACCGTAAGTGGTTCTGTTCGTATATATGTTTAAAGGCCCATCAGAGAGATCTATAGCCAAACACAGCTAAAATGTTCAGAATACATGACACTATTTCCCAGTAAGGAATGCATGCATTTTCAGCAAAAGGTATTCCTACCAGAGTTTTAGCATCTATTATGACTGCTTTGATGCTGCAATTGGTGTACTGACAGCCTGGGTAAAATATAATTAGAATAGCACAGGAATAAGCAATTTCTGAGCTGTAATCGTCAGAAAATTATAGCAATGCACTACTCTAATGCATCTTCTTAGCCAGACCACTTGTTTATAAAGCATACAGAAAGCAAAAAAAAAGAAAAAAAAAAAGGAAAATAAAATATTTTTAGTGAGGAAAAATGTTTCTTTTCATTCCAGGTATAGATTACCACTGCCCATACACATGAACTCCTCCTGCCCTCCGAGTAAAGCATTCTCCCCGTTTAGTTCCTTTTACATACGAAATACAAATGGTTTTACATTCCTCTAAAGAATAAGATGTGGTTTCCTCAAACTGCCAGACATATGTTCCCTTTGTCTTTTCTCCCGAGTCAAACAGGACAGCAAACAGGCAGCTTATGTCCCTGTTTATGGGGCATGCAACAAACCAGTCAAGGAAGACAAAATAACACTTGTGCTTCAGTTAAAGCAAATTTAACAGGCATGAACTTCTGTAGCTTAATTCTTTTCCTTGGGATACAGTCCCATATTTGAGTATATTTCACTGAAGTCTTTCCCCAGCTTTGCTCAGTCAGGTTCTTTGCACGTGGTCCTTTGTTTTCCCATGGAAAATTATTTTCCCTGCTATGTTCAAATGCAGCAACATACTTAAACATTCCTTTAAGCCCTGCTAAAAGTAAGGGCATAGTTAGCTATACAAGAATAATATTAAACATTGTGTACTAGGTACAACACGTATCTAAGCATTTTGCAGAAACTGACCTTAAATGTGCAAATGAGTCGCACACACACATATATATAACATAGGACATACACACAGTGAATCTTCCATTTCCAAGCTGCCTGTGCACCACAGGCAAACTGTGTCCAAGTTCAAGATTTGCCTCTTATTGTGCTTTTGATGGGGAGGCCTTTGGGAAGCATTGCTTTAGAAGAGCAAAGAGAAATATCCAAAAGAGCTTTCCTTCTCCTTCCCCCTGGGAGAAGGCTTCCCCTGGGGTGTCCCTACAGACCCACTGGTAGGGATGTTCTTCCTTGCTGAGCAGTCTGGCTACCCTCGCCACCTTTACCAAAAGGATTATCCTGATTATGCACCCTGAGGGCTAGGTTTAGAAATATAGCTGCAAACTATGCATTTTCTATTAAACAACCTGTCTGGAGCTCTATACAGTCTACTAACTACCTCCCATTTGTGCTGCTTAAGGAAAAGTGCAGAATTTGTTCGCAGCCATCAAGCTGTCCCCCAGGAACAAAAGAAATAGTAAGTATTTTATCGTTAGTGCTATTTTTTTTTTTAATCAAAACTAAGCATAGATGCATTCAATCCTGGTTTTAATATAATTGCCTCAGTTTCAACAAAAGTTATCATAGTTACTTCAGCCTGCTACATACATTACTTGCAGTCAATAGACTTGATCCACCCTGAGAGCAAGGGAGCAGAATCAAGAGCAGCTTAAAGGTCATTTTATCCTGAAAGACCAGTTTCTAGTATGCACTGGGACATGTGAAGCCTCCTCTAACAGCAAAGGTTACCTCTACCATGCAAAACCAAGGGAGTTGAGCACGGTCTGGAGTATGCTTGCTACAGGAGGAGTTACAGAAGCAGCTTTTAGCCCTTCAAATCAGAGATGTACAGAAGGGCAAACTCAACCTGGGCCCAACAATATGCTGTGAGTTATGGTCACAAGGAGACTTGGAGACTATAGAGACTTTGGATGCTTAGGTCCAACACAGGAAAACTGCAGACATTTAGCAGGTCCCTGTCAACCACGATAAGACCTAGAGTTTCTTGGCATCTAAATTTCTCCGGCAATGCCCCTCTGCTGTGATTATAGAAGTGTATTTTCCTTTATACATTTATTTTTTAATTAATTATGTCAGTAATAGGATTCCAAAGCACATCAAGTCCCATCTGCCTCATTAAAGTAGTCGGCTGGCAAAGCCAAACTGAAGTGCTCGTGAGTAAAACCCAAAAATATTAACATTTCCTTGACAATGAGCAGCAGGATGCTTATCTCAATCTTCTAACAAGTGTACAATGACAGCAGCAAGTCTTCTTCAGCAAGCAATCTTTCCCAACTGTGTCCAGACCTGGAAGATAACATTTCAACAGCTGTTTTTGCAGAACTTCGGCTTTCAGCTTTCCAAAAAGAATTAGGAAGAACAGGAAATGTGTCAGAAAAAACATAAATGTTTGTCAAATTTCAGGAAAAAATTCTGTTCAAATCTGAGCAAAGGCAGTATTAGACACATCTTTAAAATGCCACAGGGCACTGAGTTAAATTGATCATATGTTCACTAGCAGAAATCACTTAGCTAATGCATTTTTATTTCTAAAAGTATTTCCTTCATTCTCACTGTGAATGTGTGAGTCAGTGCACAGCACGCATAAAGTTAATGTCCCATTTTTTTTAAAACATTTGAAACTAGCTGATCAATATTACTCAGAAGTGCAGCTCTCTCTCCAATTTTTGTTCAGGCAGGGGAGAAGAAATACTGCATCCTCTCTGAAAACAACATGAGAACGTACACCATCCAGATCGGGTGCCAGCCAAAGTGTGCTAAAACCATCATTGTGAGTGCACCGTTTCTGTCACGGTAAAAGCCAGGAACCCCCATCACCCTCCTCATAATCCCCACTAAATACACACAGCCCTTCAAGGCGGTCCCTGACAATATCTTTATAGGCCTTTTATTCTGGATGCAGCAGAGATTGGAAGGTTAAAGGCTGCTGATGGCTGCAGCATAGGAAGGGCTGGGAGCTGATGCGGTGCAGAGGGAGCACAGGTTTTGGAAGGGTAACCCCACGCGTGCCTGAGCCCCGGCACAGTAAGGAGCGTGGCCAGAGACCAGCAGAGCTGAAACGCTGCTAAAAACCCAAATCTATCGTTCACCTCCCGCCGGCAGCCATCCCAAGAGACGATACCCGGCAGCCCCCTGCTTGCTACCCTGGTCTTGACCCTCAGCCTGGCATTTCTTGGTTTCCAGACCAGGGAGTGCTGCGCAGGTTTCTTCGGGCAGCAGTGCCAGCCCTGCCCGGGAAAAGCAGGGAACGCCTGCTTCGGAAACGGCGTCTGCCTGGACGGCATCAACGGCACCGGCACCTGCGAGTGCGGAGAGGGGTTTGTGGGCACAGCCTGCGAAAGCTGCGTCGGAGGCAAATACGGCCGCAACTGCGATCAAGGTACTGAGCACTCCCGAACCGCACAGGCACCTTCGCCAGTCTTGTCAGATGTCAAGACCTTCCCCTCAGACCTTCTAACCGTGTCCGTTCTAGATCCTGGAAAGGTACTTCACCCTCAGGGTAATAGGCCAGTCTTAAAAACAACATTAACCCCTTTTCTTTCCCCATTATGGTATTTTCTCTCGACTCCCTTCTTTGGAGATGGTGCCTCCTACTCTGGCACACTACAGCCTTAGAACAGCATCCAGGGAGAATAATCCTCCTTAGCACTGCTTTCTCACCAATGCTTTCCCATTAAAATACGGTTTCGGTCCCTGTGTTTGGGAATAGAGGAAAGATAAGCACATCTTGAATTTAGATTTATTCTGTAGGTAGAAGCCAATAGGCACAAGCCAAAGTGTTTCTTGAAATAGCCTAGAGCAGAAGGTGCCGCCAGCAGAAGCTGTCTGGGCCATCCCTCCTGCCCTGCCTTCCCCCGCTGCCCTGCCCAGGGTTTCTCCATCTCTCCCCGCAGCGTGCGCTTGCGTCCACGGGAAATGCAGCGCCGGGATCGACGGGGACGGCTCCTGCGAATGTGACGTCGGCTGGAGAGGGGTGACATGTGAGACCCGTAAGTGTCCCCTCTTTTTTTTCCTGCGGCGAGAAGCGAGCATTTCGGGAAATGCCAGAACTACAGCAGTGATCGGATCCCAGTGCACTAGCAGATATCCAGCAGCTTCCCACATGCACTGAAATACGGGTGACACTCCTCTGCTACAGCAATTAATCACCGTATTAACAGAGAGCCAGCTGAGATACCGCTCATGAGACTTAAATGCCTTACTTGGCTAATTCTCTACTTGTGTCATCCTGTATCTGTCCCAAAAGAATTTGTTAAGGCTATATATTTTGCAGAGCAGAGTTACCTAGCACATTTTGACCCTTGGATCAAAAGCCTCTCAGGTGCTTCACTAAATTGATTTAGCTATACAACTCTGGATATTAAATTATGTTCTTGCCAATAAAATAAAAATTCATTAGAGAATAAATCAGTTGGTGTTGGCTTAATACAGCTCCTATATCCAATAAAACTATATTTTAGTTAAACATAATTTAAATGTATTAAATAACTATTTCAGAACTCTATGTATAATATTATGAAATAAAAAAATGGTACAAGCACATTAATAATAACATTCAATATCAGTTTTTAAATTTGCTCAGGGAAAAAATAGTAATGAAATGAACATAATAGAGTTGCTATAGTTGCTATATCTGAGCAAATTTCAGTTCCTTTAGAAAACCTACACCTATACAATTAAACTAAAAATGTGCAAAACTCGCCGGACTAAATACAGATACATGACAACAGGTGAAATGTTTTTCTGACTGACTGACATGCCTCTTCTTCACAACTGAATTTCAGTGGTGCCCACTGCTCTCTACAGATGGAGTCTCTACACAGACTAAGAGCAGGGTTGCCTGGTGTACAACTCGGACTCCAGCTCTGCATGGTGGGAACAAAAGACTGGGAACTAGAAGGATGTTGACCCCAAAGTTTCTAATGCCAGTTTCTTTTTTTTTTCTTCCTATTGCAGAAATCAAAGACGACGCATGTAACGCCTCATGCCATACCAGCGCTAAGTATGTATGAAATCCACTTATGTGGAGGAGAGGGGGAGAAAAAGGGGATCTCTTGCAAGGCAAAAAGCATAGGCCACCTTGCTCTTTATGAAGACTTCTCAGCAGCATGGATAACACTCATGTTTTCCGCCACAGAGATAAAAAGCAATGTTAATGTAACATATTTGGTGAAGAGGTCAAAAAGTTCAAAATGTGCATGTTAAAGGGGGAAACAAATGGGGGCGGGGAGAGGGGAAGCAGGAGAAGAAAAAAAAAAAGTGAGACATCCTACTATGTAGTATACAAAGAAATGGAGCCTGCAGCACTAAAGAAAACAGGAGGTCAGGGCAAGACTGATCACAAAGGTGGGTTTCTGAGGTTGGCTTTATCTGCTCCACCTATTTGGCCCATCTACCACAACACTCATAATTGAGAAATGCCATTGGCACTAGGGACTTCAAAGAGCGCTGCATTTGGCAAGAAACAGCTCTCCTCTTTGCATCAAAATATAAAACAAAACAAAAAAAAAAAAGCTCTCAGCTGTCCAGCACCAATACTGGGACACTAACTAGTTTTCAAAGGAGCAAGTCACCCCCATTGAGCCATTTACTGAAGCGCACCCACCCACCAGTGTTGACCAGACAGCAAGATTTACATTACCCAAGATATTTAAAAAACAAGGCAAGGTGGCTGGAAAGACTCCTCGTTTTCAGCCACAGCTCTTCCATAGGAGCAGAGAAACCAGAAGGGCAAACCCCCTTTCTCCCCAGATATAGATCATTCTCTCCCCCACGTGTTTGTGAACTGCAGTTCACAGCAGTGATTTAACCAGGCTTTTTGGCAAAACTCCACTCTTTAATTTGCGCAGGGGGATCCCACACATGCTGGCATCAAGACTGTGTTTCTGAAAGGAGAAGATGACTGTTCTTTCCCTAAGCCTTATCCATCCCCTCCCGTACCCCTGTAGGTGTAAGGATAGGCGCAGGCATGGCAGGAAAGGACGGGATCACGCTGGTTGTGTTGTGACATTGTCCCTGGGTGACATCAGGGAGCAATCCCTGTATTATGCAGAGCTCACGGGGCAGTAAACCCACACTTGCATACAGAAGGGCAAACGTGAACCCAGAGGACTCAGACACCTGGCTCCCACCTCTGGGCATCCGTTCTGCTGCATCCCTCAATAAATTGTGTGCACCCAAACAAACATTTTGGCACAGTTTTGGGGTGAGCAGGCATGAAACTTCTGGAGTTCTGCACGAGAAAATAGGACACTTGATTACCAAAGCGTGCCTTTTTAATACTTAAAATAATACATCCAAAATGCATTTGGAAAGCTTGGTCCAACTAGGTTCATTTTTATGGTTGTAACTACATCACACTATATGGTTAAACGCCTTGTTATTTCTATGTAACATACCTTCAGAACAATGGACAAAAACAAGGGCTGTACAGAAGACCTGACTACTTTTTTCCTTTTTTTTTTTTTAATGTCGTCTCCCTCTTTTTACTTCTTTAGCTGCCTTCTCCTATCAAATGGCACTGCCTATTGCAAGTGTGCAGCTGGGTTTGAGGGGAACGGGACGTTCTGCACAGGCAAGTGGACTTTGTTTTTTCCCTTTTGGAAAAAAAACAAAACAAAACATGCTTGAAGCACTCTGTGGTCACGGTGGAGCTGGTGAGAGATGAGCACTTCCCTATGCACCAGTTAAAAACCAGGGATTGCTGCCAGTTTCCTCAAAACGAGCAAGAGCCCAACAGGTGCAGGTTCATATCAGACAAAGGGCTCAAAATCTCCGAGTTGCAAGGCACTATGCTAAGGGAGACCAGAGAAAAGGGAACATGCCGTGCACGACCAAGGCCCCATTGTTTGCAGAGTAATGAAACTCGGATTATGACTTTTACTCCTTTTCCCACAAAGCCCAGCAAAGAGAGGCCAATTCAGGGTACAATAGCACTTCCAGCTATTGGAAGCTGTATAGTCCTACCATTTCCTCAGCTTTCTGAACTTGCACGGATTTCTAGGGTGATAAAATCAACTTCTTTAGACCAGAGAGTTCTGAGAGATCCTCAGAAAGAGACAATAGCAGCTTATCCTAGGCATCCGTCCAAGAGTCTGGGATATCCAGACTTACAAAATAGACTGCTTCCAGCTACAGTGATTGTAATTAATTTTACAGTTGTTTTACTTAATCCTTAACCGATTAAAATACTAATGCTTTGGGGAACAGAAGCATATTTGTCTACCCACAATGGCTAGCAGGGTCCTAATCCAAGATTTTAGCACTCCTACCCCAGCTGCTTTCATTTTCTTTTCTGGCAGAAATCAACTAAATCCATTTTAATCTACTGATGGGAAATTCCCCAAATGCAGGAAGAGCAGGGTGACACAGGTCACCCACAGTGGCTCTGCACTCTCCCTTATTCCCCTATACAGGATTCCAGGGCAAAACCAGTTACAGGACAAGTCATCTCCCCAGTCTGGCTGTTACAGCTGCTGAAACAGCAATTTGGGGTCATTTGAGGCAAAAATTAAAGCAATGTTTGGGCTGATTTGATTCACACTGAAGATCAGAAAAGGCTCCCTCCCTGCTCTCAGGGTAACCCAAGCAAACTCAATTTGCAAGCCTCTGACTCATCCAAAGTTGGAGAAACAGCAGGAGTATCCATCTGAATAACACCCAGGACTTTTTGTCACAGGAGGACTGGTTGGTGTTACACTCTAGGCATCCTGCAAGAGAAGGCATACGTCTGTGTGCAGAAAGACGCAAGCTAAGGGAAAGCTTCAAATGGTCTTTTAATCCAGAGAACGTGAAAGTGCCTTTTCGGTGCCCAGTTGGAATAGGCAGAATTGGAAAACTGAAAGTTACAGAAAGTCAGTCCTTGATGAATCCTTACCTTCCAGACTCCAGGCATCTTCTCAGCTTTCCCTCTTGTAATCAATAAGATGTAATAAATATTTGGTACTAATGAAGTTTATGACCTCTTAAATCAGATTCTGTGTTCAGAAAATGTTAGCAAATCCCTTTAAAACATAGAGACAGCTTAACCTGAAAAAGCAAAAAGCCATTTAAGCACATCAAGTTTAATCTGGGTTGTTGTCACTGCTCAGCTATTGACGCTTGCAAAACCAGCAACGGTGGCTGTTCTGCCAAGGCAGAGTGCAGAAGAACAACGCCCGGCAATAGAGCGTGTGTCTGCAACGCTGGCTACACCGGAGATGGAATAGTCTGCATCGGTAAGCATTTGCAATCTCTTATATATCACGTGGAGGAAAACTACAGGAGTGAGTTTTCCTGTAGATGGAAGATCCTTCTTCCACTATGACCCAAAATGCAGTTTCCTGATACTATAGACCCTGATGCCAAAGGCATCTCTACCTGCCACATGGTTGATATTACTTGGCAAACCATGCAACTACAGCAGTGTGGTGTGACACCAAAGCTTTATTAATAAGATCTGCCTCTCAGCAGAGATCAACCCATCTTCAGCAGCTTGATACACTCGTGCTCCTCTGACCACTGCCAACTTAAAGACTTTTAGGCACTGTTGTACCATACCTCGCCCAGGTATGGTTTTAGAAACGCTGACAGCAGAGTATTAGCCTTCACCAAGACAACTGCAAGATAGACTGAGGTATTAAGTAGCTACGGGAATGAGTTTCATTGATTCACAGTTGTCATAAATCTGCATTCCTAGTATGCTCTACTTAAAATTCTCCCTTCCTGGGTTTTCAGAAGTCACTTTTTTTCCCCCCTGCCATTATACTGTTTCTCTTTTATAAAGAAATCAACCCTTGCCTGGAGAGCAACGGTGGCTGCGATAGAAATGCAGAGTGCACACAGACTGGACCCAATCAAGTGAGTACTTTGTCAGTGCAGGTAAATAAGACTGGCCAACTGTTTACAGTGGGTAAGGGAAGATTTCCCCATCTCAACTTTGTTTTTAAATGGAAAAGTGGATAACAAAAATTCTGAAGACTATATGCTTCCCTCAAAAAGCTATTTGAGGGGGAGTGCAGACAAACATGAAGAAAATTAATTTCAGTAAAACAAATCTAAAATTGCAGAGGAAAGCAGTGTTTTGCTGTTTCAAGAGCAGTTGTTTTTCTCCTTTGGGAGGTTTTGATGTGAAAACCTGACAGTTTGAAAGTATTGCCAGATAACTTTTCTTTCACTGTTACAGAAACCGTCCATGGAAAAATTCCATTTCAGACTAGCCCTTCTCCCAGCATAGCTCAAATGTATTCACAAGGAAACAAAGTGGCCTGAATCATAGTTCTCATGTAGGAGTTACAGCATACTGGCACCCACTCACTCCTCCGCTGTTCTGCATCTCCCATGCAGAAGTACCACATACTCTCCAAAGAAAAAGAAGTATAAAAGGACAAAGGGGGAAAGGAGAAACAAATTGGCGCAGGCAATCAAGTGACACAGATTAGCATTTCTATTTTTAGAACAGTTTCAGAAGCTGAACACCCTGATTGCAGCACTTCTTATCATCCCTCTATACTTTCATATTGGCTATTGGCAGGACTGTAATCCTCCCGCAAGCGCTGCACAACAGTATTTCTTCAGGAGCAATGCAGGAAACAGCAACCAGGAATGAGAGGCCACCTCGTGACTTCCAGTTGTCCAGGGACAGGGGGGCAATAACCCAGTCAGCCCTTTGTACCAATACGGATCAATTAACTCTTTGCCTTGACTCATTTGCAAGTCAGTACATTTCTGGTGGGAGCACAGAGCCACTTAACTCCTTCCCCATCCCTCTAGACAAGACAGGTGATGGCTATTTTCTTCCATACACCCTCACTAGGGATAGAAGTAGTACCTACAACATGATTATTTCTACTTCCTTACCCATGGGAATATAGTTAACGTCAGAGAAATAATAACCACTACAAAATCCCAGCGCTGTAGAGCCAAACTTAAAGGACAGAAATGCGTCTGCTTTCTGTAGGGCTTTCAGTCACCCAAGCGTATAAAACACTGCTATTACACTGCCTTGCAGTTTTATTTCTGCTGCAGAAATCTCCTTGAATTTTCAATCCCCTACATTCTAAATTGAGAACCGTTAAGCAGCAAATTGGAGAGGAAGATAATAAGAAAATTAACCATGTTAATTTTTCAACTTTGTGATAACTGCAAGTGCAAACCAGAGTAATCGTGACATGTCAAATGCATTATGGCTGCATGGGAAGCTGCCAGTAACATCAGGACACAATTCCAAGTGTGTTTTGTAGATCTGTTTCATCACTTAAAAAAAAAAATAGGGGAAGGGAAGAGAGGGGAATACCAATCTATGCAAACAAATGAGGGAAACAAATTAGGGGTTTAGCCTGTTTTGCCAGCAAGACAAGCAAGCACAGATGTCAAAGGGGTCATTTCAAATGACCAGGACAGCAGAGGAGAGATGAATAGGCAGGGAAAGGGCAGATTCAGCCTCTTGGAAATTGTTATTCCTCAATCTCAGTCCATGGTTGCTCATGCTGGCTAAGAAACTGCTGCAGGAGAGATGATATACTTTTAGTTTAATAAATTGCACACCATATCACTATGAAATAATCTGGCAAAAAAGTAAATTAAATATAAGTGTGATGAAAAAAAATCAAATATCTTTCCATGTATATACATTTTCTGGTTTTGCTTTGTAGGCAGTGTGTAATTGCTTGAAGGGGTACTCTGGAGATGGGAAAAGATGCACATATATCAGTCTGTGTTCACAAGTAAGTATCCATTTAAAGAGAGTATTTAAAGTCTTGTTATAATCATTACACTTTTGGATTTTGTATGCATTCAGAACTAAGTCAGGTATGCCCAGAATCAATTTACGTTAACTTAGCTAATCTTTAAATGTGCTTGGTTCAGTACATGCATTAGTGCTGTTGCTATTTCAGAAACTAAGTGTGCAGTAAGGGCTCTTCCTCGACCACAGCCTGGACATAACACAAGTGAGGGCCTGGACTCATCACTGAGTCTTAAAAAAAAAAAAAAAAAAAAAAAAAACACCCCCAAAACCACCACACACTTCAAATCAGATCTAGAGAAACAGCCCCTAATCTGTAGTGGTAAAACATAAGTCATGTCTTCTCAGCAAATTTTCTGTCATTGCTAGAGTTCATATAAAAAAACACTATCTGAATTTGTGTTTGGGACACAGAGGGCTTACTAATATTTCAATTACTATTAAAAAAAAAGCAGTTTCTAGGCAAGACAATTAAATAGTTGGTTCAAATGATAAGAGAGAAGTGTGATCTACTACACGGTACCTGTAATGACAAAAAAAAAAAAAAAATCTACAGTTCAGGTTGTGGATGCTCAGGGGCCAGTTCTAGCTGTTCTGGGAGACAAGTGATTGGGAACAAAACAGAACAGTCTACGGTAGATGAAAACACCTATTTTTAGTATTTTCCTGTCATTAAGTCCTCTGGTGCGGTTTGGGACCATATCTGTGCAGCCTGAACATGAGAAATTATCATGTGTCAGCATACACATCCCCTTCTCAGTCTGAAATTTTTCTTAGCCTGACCAGAGTAACAAGTCCTCACATTGCTGGGTGATAACCAGTGAAATCCGTGTTGGGGCAAAAAGGTGCTCAAGGCCCTGGGCTCTCTGGAGCAGATATTCCCAGCGGAGGTCCCAGCCTGCGGGATCACCACGGGCAGAGCTCCCATGGGGCAAGTCAAAAAGCACAGCCCCTACGGCCGAGCACAGGCTGCATCCCAAACGCATCCCTGTGGATGCGGAGTGCAGGATAGCAACGCTGCAAACTGCCGCAGAGGCAGCTTAGTGAATAGTGAAACAGGAGGGGAGAGGGGAGAATGGAAGCCTCTGCTGATGGCAAGGCTAAAAGAAAAAAAAAAAAATTCTCCACACCAACCATTTCCCTTCTTTTCCTCCACAACACACAGCACAGGGCTTCCCACGGCATTCCTCGTTTTGTCCCTCACTTATCACTGCAGGCTGAGAATCAGCCACGTTCGTTTCACACGAGCCAACTCACATACTGCAAGTCACACATTTGCAAGCAACACGGCTCTCTGCACCAGCCACATCACTCTGCTTCTTGGCAAGCTGCACCAGGGACATATCCACTCTCCCGTGCACATTAATCCTTTGTGCTCCGAGCGCAGCGACAATAATTCTCACCCTCTGGGCCTGGCCTGTCAGCAGAGTTTCTCCAACCTTGAAAGGCTGCAGAGATGAAAGAGCAAGGGCAAAAACAGAAGCTGGAGGGAGGAGAGCTCAAAGTTATGATCTACTGCTTCCTATGATTTTGTATGCTTTTGCCTTTTCCTATGCCTTGTTCCAGCAACTTTGCTTCCAATTGGCTAATTATAGCTATTAAAAAAAAAAAAAAAAAGATAGTCTTGAAAACTGTTACTGTCAAACCAGGCTAATCTGACTTCCCTTTGGCAAACCCCTGTGCGGCAAAGCTTCATGCGAAGCTACGATAAACCCAAGATTGCCAACAGTCCACCTAAAGCTAGCCAAATAAATAGCAAAAGCACCCAGACCCACTACTCACTACGACCTGTCAAGTCAGGCCCCACTGGCAGCTCCCAAAGGAGCTTCTGCTCCCACTCATGGTCCATGGGAAAGGATCTCCCAGATGACCAGCAACAGAAAGGACACCAACGAAACAAGCACAAGGAAAGAAAACAAGATGGATTCTCAATTTTTCCCAATTTGCTCTTAAGTCCAGGATAGAAACTTATTTGCAGACTGAGGCGCTAGCTGGGGAGCACCCACTTGTGACCGGGCAGAGCTCTGAACCCCGGCACGCTGCTCCGGGATGAGGAACGTCTCCCCTCGGCACAGATTTCTTCCCGGGGGCAGGCGGCCGGGTGAGGTGCATCGTTGCTGCTCCGAGCCTTAGGTCGCACCGGTAGCGCACCCGAGGGCAGACAGGAGGTGTTTTGGAGGAGAGCACGTGTGGCGGGTCAACAGGCAGCCCTGCGGTAATGCTCCTCCAGAAATCCAGGCTCCTAGCACCGTAAAAGTGATTTACGGCTATAGTTCCCTTCAGTGTAAGTCAATGCTGCCTCAGCAGAGCGGCTAAGACTCATCCCCAAGGTCCGGAATGAAACCTGCCTGGAAATCTTTTGGATCCTTATAACACCATGAACTGAAGATATAAGGAGGTAATCAAAACTACATCCTCTGCATAAAATGAGTTATTTCTTAAGAACCTTAAATGCTCTTTATTGTTTGCGAGAAGGTATATACTGCCAGAAGTTCCAGTAAGATCTTGTTTTGAAAAACTGTTGGGATTAAGTCTTTCTAAGCTATATACATTGGGGGAAAAAGTGGTGAACTAGAATTGTCCTGCAGACCTGGCAATGAAGGAACTGAATATTTTAAATCTTGATCTTACAAGAATAACGGAGGCTGCAGTGAATTTGCCACCTGTAATGACACCGAGCTGACAGAAAGGACCTGCACCTGCAAACGTAACTACATTGGGGATGGATTCAAGTGCCGAGGCAATATCTTCCAGGTAAAGTGCTGCACGTGTTTGCTGTCCCTTATTTTTCTTCAGATAGTTATTTAATACAGTGGTTGTCTCTTGAAATATGCCAGTTTTTAACTTGAACAAATTGGTAGGTCTACTGCAGAATTGGAAATAACCCCAATCCAAGAAACCAGGAACAGGACACTGCAAGATAATCCTACCTGCCTCAAAAAAAACCAAACAAACAAACAAAAAAAACCCCACAAAAACTACAACTAATGGACAGTCGTTATGACTGCAGTACTAGGGAGTTAATACTAGTATTTTTAGGTGTCAAAGAAGCCTGTTCTTTGATAAAGCAATGTAAGAAAAGAACAGGAGCAACGCAGATGGGCAGCATTTATTCCAAGCCAGAAATCCTCTTTGTTTTCCCAAGTGCTGCATTTGTTTATACTCCACAGATGTTGCCCCATGTTTGCAGCACTTTTACAAAGTCTTGTTCTTGGTTGCAGGAACTTCTCAGGGACTCCAACACATCCAGGTTTTATTTCCACTTAGAGGTAAGAAAAAGTAAAAAGTAAAGTACTTTGGGGGGGGGGGGGGGGGTTTTTTTTTTTTTTCCCCCTCAAGGAGGGGGCAGGGAGCAGGCATGAATCTGGCCTGTATCAACATCCTTCAACTTAATTGGAACTGGATTTGGATCACCAGCCACTAATATCAGAGATGCTCTAGTTTAAACTATTAACTGTCATGAAAACCTCTAGAGAATTAATAACAAAGACTAAGATTCCAGGGAAAAGTAGGGCCCCCAGACCAGGCATAAAACTGAAGCTTTCACCCAGTCTGAAATCTTCCAGCACATCTCTCATGAATTCTGGTGTGAGCAAATACCGCTCCTCTCCTAGCCCTGCTGCGTTTCCGAACCGCGATGCTGTTTTCAGTTGCCTCTTGGATATGTCACAGGACGCTGTTGTGTGTTGCTAGACAGTCAGCGCACACCCCAGTTCTCACTGCTTTTTGGAGACCGGCAGTAGTAATTCTCCATTTACCCTGAGCCTCAGGGCAGCACAAACTCGTACACTGGCCTGCTAGTCCAGAGACTCATATTCTTGTTTCACTTGCGCTACCACGGTAAACTAATTGCTTCCTCCCACTTCAGCAGAGCTCTCTCCCTATTTTAGTTTGTCAGTGGTCATTGCAAAGCACCAGCGATAGCCCAGGTCCATTTGTCCCTCTAACAGTAATTAATCTACTCCTAGGTACAAGCAGCCTAAATGCGTGTACAAACACATGCATATATCCACTCTTGACTATATGGAGATGAAAGGGTTTATTCATCTTCCCTTGACCAGGAGGGGATCGCCCTCCTCCACCCTCCCTACACTTAGTGTTGGGAGCTTTCCCCCTTCTCCTGTTCATTATTGCAGAGGAAACGGAGACTTGGCGATAAACCGCAGCCTTCCATTTGATACCCCTGGGCTGGGAAGGAAAGTCCACACCACGCCAGAGTTTCTCTCCCCCTTGCGTTGCAGGGAAGGGAACCCGACGTGCAACAGCAGCAGGGCTGTCCCCATCGCTGCGTGATGTTGTGTGCTCTAACGACTCATTCCTGCTCTGTCCTCTTAAATTTGGCAGGCCTTGTCTATCAGAGATATTGCAGGCCCTGGCCCTTTCACCCTGTTTGTACCTCGCACAGACGTACTAAACAGCGACCCACGAGTAAGTAAGAAGGCCAGAAGTTTTTGGGGAGCTGGCTGAGTTTTCTGGATTCAGATGCCTTGCTCAACTGCTTCTCAACTCCTCCACTTTTTGCTGCAGGTCAAGGACTGGGTTGCCAAAGGAGTGATGGCTCAAGTCCTCCGGTACCACATGGTGGGTTGTGCCAGCCTGTTGTACAGCGACCTGACAACAGTCACCAACATCACCTCCCTCCATGGGGACCCGATACACATCAGCTACTCACAGGTAACAGAGAATGAAGAGGCAGGAGACAGAATAATAAAACAGTCCGCTTTCATTCAGCTTTTTTTAAAAACTGGAATGGTTCCCTTCCCTCCCCTGATGCACAAAGATAAATAAATAGCATTAAAAGAAGGTTGCCCATTCAGCTGAAGTGTTCAGCACTTATCTGCTATGCTAACAGTGGAGTTGTACAACCCTTGCTTTGACACCAGTTATTTTATCCTCACACTCCGGCTTTATGAGCATGATGAGAGTTTGAAAAAGCAAAGGGCAATTTATTAAAACTGAAGCTACTGTTTGCTGCAAAGAAAGGATGGTCTGGGCTCACCACATCAAAGAAATCTGGCATCAGCCTCACCCACCCACAAGGTTCCACAGAAAACGTGTTTTTGTTGCCTTTCCAGAACTCACTGGTTTTGAACAACAAAGCTGAAATTATACTCCGTGATGCTGTTGGCACAAATGGCGTGATCCATGTCATAAACCAAATTCTGGTCCCATCACATATCCAGGATTTCCCCCTTAAGAAGGTATGTGCAGCTCGTTGCCATTCTCCACCCAGGGGCTTTTCCACAGTTACTGTTAGATATGTAGATCATGTAAGTCATAAAAAAAAACCCAGGGATACTGAAAAGACCTTATACAAACATCATTTGACACTGCTGAATAAGTTAAACGTTATATTTAAAATTCATTCAGGAATTACAGTTATACCAAGAACAGTATAAGAGGACTTCTGCACAGTGGCATTGATTTCATAACAAAAAGTGACTTACAGGGTAAAGCAAGCCAATATCTGCTTTTTAAATACCCACATAACGTATTTATTAGATAAGTTACTGAATATGCCTTTCTTCATAGGAAAGCCTTAAAATGGTTGCAGCCAAACATGGATACATCCTGTTCAGCAGTTTGCTAGAGGTAAGGACACAAGGCACAGCAGCAACTGGGCAAAGGTTTTAAACACGTCTCTTAAATACAAGAGCACAGACGTGGCACAAGGCATCACTGGCAGGATGGTTTTCAGTGGAGCCAAAGGGCTCACAACACCACACACAACCCTGCTCACCACGTGGTCCCTCTCCTGCAGAGGTAAGGGGGATGTCAGGTGGACCCACAGCCACCTTTCCCCTCCCCACTTAGCTCTGTCCTACCATATACCAAATTACACAGCCAAGGTTTGACCCAAATGTGATTTTCTGAGCCCAAAGTTGGGCCGTCAGCCTGGGTTTCGGTGGGCAGCCCTGGGTGATGGAGCAATTCTGAGAATTTGGTCATGTAACTCAACTTGGGCAGCTCAACTCGGGCATCTGTTTTCTTTAAAGTCATGGTGTTTGCAGGCTGGTGACCAGGCAGCCCACAGCATCCCAGTTAGACCAGACATTCACCCCATAGGGTCAACATCATTTTAGATGGAGCACTAATCCTCCACCCCAATTTTTGGTACGTTGCAGAAGAACAACCTGCTTGGGCTGATCAACGATCCTATCCACAAACCCGTCACGCTCTTCTGGCCCACAGACGCAGCTATCCGTGGGCTACCGCAGGAGCAGCTGGACTTTCTCTTCAAGAAGACCAACACAGACAAACTGGTGCAGTACCTCAAATTCCACATTGTCCGTGACGCTGCGGTAAGCCCTTGCTTTTTAGGAGCGTTGCCAAGGCCAAGACATGTGAGCCCAGACACGAGCATCTCCCCTCCTTCCTTCCCAGGTGTTGGCCTACCAGCTACCCCTCTCCACCTCGCTGAAGACCCTGCAGGGCTCCAACCTCAGCATCAGCTGTGGGGATAACAGGGAGATTGTAAGTGTTCACCCCGCTGGCACATTTACCCTTTTTGCCCCTGCTGCGGGATCTGCTCATGCAGACCCCGCCGTGCCCGTGCACAGCCCCCAGAAAGGGTCAGTGGCATCAAACCCCAGTTGATCTTCCCCAGTCTGTGCCAACAGCCACAAAACCAGGGCAGCCGCTCCAACGGATTCAGCAGGCTAGATGCTTTGTCAGACTCTTTGGAACTGTCATTTTCTCTGTTGTAAGATGCTATTTGTTCAAAACAGCTCTCAGTTACCTCAAAACTGAGGTACTAGCACATTGTAATTTCTCCTACAATGAAATACACAATGGAAAACTGTTAAAATGAACCTGGCTTTGGCAGAAGCCCCACGAATGTAGCATCTGCATGCAGACTCTGGTTTGTAAGCACTTACAAGCTAAGATTGCAGGCATGCACACAGCCTGTTAAGCCAGAACAACGACACATTTTTCTTTGCCAATGTATCATATTATACTCGGTGAGCACCTGCCCCTCAAAACATGACTAAGACTAAATGTGCATAAGGTAAACATAGGGCTGGCATACTCTGTCCCCTTCAGGAAAGGAAAAAGATCTGCTCATCTGTGAGGTTATAGCATTCAGCTATAGGAAAAGAGGTCCCCAAATTGGTTTCGGGCCCCTACAGCCATCAGCGTTACCTCCAGGATAGTTTAACACACCATCTTGCACCAAGAGCATTCCTACAGGGGAAGGATTATCCCTAACTCCCATTCAGGCCCTGGATTCAGCCTGGATTCAAGGAAGACTGGCTCCTGACTTATCACCCCCCCCTCCCCATCCCCTCTCTCAGGGTGCCCTTTTCCTGAACGACCGACAGTGCAAGATAGTGCAGCGGCAGCTGGAGTTCGATGGGGGCATCGCCTACGGCATTGACTGCCTGCTGACAGACCCCAGCCTGGGGGGACGCTGCGACAGCTTCTTCACCGTGGATTTCACGGTCAGTCCCCTTTTTTGGTCCCCCCACCCTGGCAAAGACACGGCCCAAGGGCCAAACCCCATCCTCACGGGGACCGGGGCAACACTCGCAGCAGCTTTGGCACTACGGAGATTAAGTGCCGCCGCTTCAGGCTGGCTTCATCTGTCGCCTGGGTTAGAGCTGAGGTTAAGAAGCGCAGCACAACACCCGGAAGATACACGACAGAAATCCTGCATCCACAATAAGCAACACACAGGACAAGCGGTTTCAGTGAAGACCAGCTTAGCGAGCCCTGCCCCGTTTTCCATAAGGACAGTACCTTACAAACGCAAGCATAAATTTGAGGAAGAACAGATCTTCCTATCATGCTTTTAAATTAATATAAATTCACACTGATTTGGTCATAGAGATTGCATTTACAAAGTTCCCAATTACAAAGGAACAGCGTCGCTTGTCCCAGCTGCACAAGGTATTAAGGACAGAAGACAGAGAACTGCCTAGTCTGTTGGCCGGGCTCTCAGTCTCCCACATTTCTTGCTTTCACAGAAATATCCTTTAACACACCTGGAGGCACTGTTAGCGTGGAGGAAGTTTCCTCTGTGAACTTTGATGGGTCCCACAAACAGGAAGTTTTGAAACCCATTTTGAAATGGTTTCAAGAGTAAATTTACTTCAGTTTCATTAGAATGTATGAAAAAATGACCAAAAAGTAAAAAAAATTTTCATGTAATCAGTCTTAAAAAAAAAACTTATTGGAATTTATATTTCAATTGTAAAACCAACACTTGTGTGTATCCCATCTGCTCAAGTTACCTTTTGTTTCATGATTTTGTTAAATGAAATTGAATAGATACCATTTCCTCAGATCTAGTCAGCGCTTCCTGAAAAGTAACCATTTAACTCTACTCCAAATTAGACATCCAGATCTGATGCAGCCCATGTCAATATTTGAAGAATATTCACCATCTCTTCCCTGCTTGTTTAAATCCATAGCAAAGTTTATTCTTCCAGAACTTATATTCTGGTATCAAAACTATTTTCTTGCATTGCATAGCACTAAATTAACACAAATATTTTGTTGTCATTCTCCTCTCTTCTTTCTCCAGAGTTTTTTATGTTCTGTTTCAAGTGTAGTAAGCCTACACTCTTCTCTGCTCATGTTTGCTGCTCTCATAAAACAAACTTTCTGTCCACATCAAATAGCCTTTTGTTGTCATTATTTTAATATACTTTTTTTTCTTCTCCATTTTGTATAACAGGGCCATTGTGTTAGCTGTTTCAGTAATTCAAAATGCCCTCCAGGGACAAAACCAAAGGTAATACCTTAAAATCTTGCATTTAAGCAGCCTAACCTGCTCTTCTCTGTACTTCACACAAGCAAACTCTAATAAGTTGCTTTGAAAAAAAATGAAAAGAGTACCCTCAACAGCGAAACCACACTGTTAATTGATGCCATAAAGCCTCAGGGACAAACCTGTCCCTGGGCAAACACCCAGGGGCTGGGGGGGACGACACTTGCTGGTCTCGCACAGCATCCACTGTAGCGAGCGCTTGGGCTGACTTTGGAGCAGCCCCTCCATCCTCATTAACGGCGCTTAGCAAGTCTGGACTCAAAAAGGCGGCAGGGGCCTCACACCTGCACTCTTCACACACCACGTTCTAATTCGATGTACATCAAGAACGGTGATTTAACAAGGGAAAAAAAAACCAAACCTCCACGCAGCACTCATCTTCTGCATTTTCCCCTCCTCTCTGCGCTGGCACGTGCGATGCCCAGGACGGGATCCAGCGGTGCACGTACGAGTCCTACGGGCTGCGGCGGGACGGCTGCCGAAGGAACTGCTCCATGGTCATCCACGCGGCCAAGTGCTGCAAGGGCTACTTCGGGCCAGACTGCCAAGGTAGGAGCCCCCTCCCCGAGCACCCTGCGGAGCACCCAGCCGGCTGAGCTGCGGCACCTGGGGTAGCGGAATGCGGAGACACCAGCCACAAGATGGGGGAACTCCGTTGCAAGAGCTGAAGTAAATAGAAAGTAGTATTGCTTTGCCACTCCACAGAATCTCTTTTTCGCATTTACGGGAAGTTTTAAACTCCAGGCTAGCAAACTAAGTGAATGCTATAAAGACTGCCCTGCTGTAACCAAACCTAGCGAGAATTAATTAGTCACCAGCTGAAAGTCCTTTCGGCACAAGACCAGACTTCAGGTTTGTGGCGGGGATACCAGGGCACGCCAGAGACACAGCATACGATTCCTCAGCCACCTGCAAGCAGGCACACCACTGGTGCAAGCTCAGAAATTATAACTTTAACCAGGTGCGAGACAGTTTGGGAGGCTTTCTCTCCAGCTGTTTGTTAGCACCCACTAACGAACCGTGTGCTCCTTCACCCCCCAGCCCCACAGGGGAATGGTACTGAGGCTCTCACCGGGGCACGTAGGCATCCAGATTTCACAGACTGACATATGCAGGTCCCATGCAATTTTGGCCAGCCTGGCCTGAGCTGCCCTTTGGGCTCACCCCAGCAGCACCCAGACACATGGAGGTGCACAAGCAAGGCTGGATTTGGGCAGGGGCTGGGCAGCGCCATTCACCGATGGGTCGGAATGAGCAAGCAGTCGGGTAACAGCACCCAGACACAGGGCTGGAAGGGGCCATGACACCCTTCTGACAGGAGTTGTAAAGTACGTCAAGGAATTCAGAGCAGGAGGCTTGCAGTTCCAAGTGTCACAGCTGCTTTTACACACCCCAACAGAGATGCATTTACAGGCCTTTCCCTGTTCAAGGATTTTTTTACAGAACAGTGTCAAGGAATAAGCGTGCACTTGAGCTAAACAGACACTTCTTTTTTTTTTTTTTAACTCTTCCAGCTTGTCCAGGGGGCCCAGAGACCCCATGCAATAACCACGGCTCCTGCGACGACGGGTACAGCGGGACAGGAGAGTGCCGCTGCGACAGCGGCTTCAACGGGACGTCGTGCGAGCTGTGCTTGCCAGGCAGATACAGCTCCAGCTGCAGGCGTACGTTTACGTTTCCTTTCCATGCTGTTGCCCGTGTCGCACTTAAACTGCTTTGTCAGTGATGGGTTAAGTAAACCAAGAAATGCTTCCCCCTTTCAACACCAACATTTTTCCCCGAGTGCCTCCTCACACAGAGGGATGGCACAAGGTCTCAGAAGGGAGGAGGAGAAGGTGGGGAAGTGGCAGAGACTTACTTAGCTTTCTCTGCAGGGCTCCTCCTATTCTCATATGGTACATAAGTAACAGGGAACGGAGACAGAGCCTCCATCAACAAGTGTTTTCAGCTACAGCACAGCCTTTTCCCCTATCCCCATAAAGGGCAAGACAGGATTTTAGCAATGTGGTTCCTCAAGGACTGCAGGAGACCAAGGCCACACGCTATTTTTGTGGAAGAGAAGAAAAAAAAACACTGAAGGCGGCAGTTTGTGAAGAGGAACGGCAGCCGAGAAACTGCTCACATAATCCTTTTTGCTGTGGTTTTAAATGTGAACTAGGTGGAACCAGGATCAATATCACCCTTTAAACTTAAATGTTTTCCCAACATAAAGCCATCAGGTGGGAAGCTACATTAATCTTTCTCCTAACTATGTGCACCTGTAGTGCTCATCATGCACATACAGTGGGGTTTATAAGCTAGATATCCTTAGGGTAGAGGCAAGACACTAGGGTTGGATACCAATATTCAAGAGTATGCTTACCTGCAATTTATCAGTTTTATAGCACAACATAGCATCAACTGTGTGAGCCAGTAGTCTGATGCAGATTGTGGCGTCTAACAGAAAAAAAAAGTTTCCCAGCCCCTTCTCTTCAATGCATATTTATGTCAGCCAAAAATTAGATAACTAGAGGGTGAAACTCCTTTTCAGCAGGACCAGCTCTTCACAGAATCAGTTTCCCCAATCCCACATCATTGTTGTCTTTAAACAACAATATTTCAGGAAGAGAGATAAGGCAAGAAAGGATGCTACTTCATTGCATTATAAATCAGAGAGTCACCAATAATTCCTTAAAAAGGACTCAGCATCTAAGTTATTGCAGGGCCCAAAGAGTGAGGGGAAAAAACCATCACCTATAGATTAAATCAGTCCCTCATGCTTCAGTTTCACAGCTGCTGCACATTAGGACAGGATCAGGCTGGGTCTTCAGCTCAGACATTACCTCCTTCCTGCCACAGTCCTTTGTGAAGTTTGCTACTCTACCACGATGCAGATCAACCCTCATTTTCATTTTCAGAGTAACAGTGGATGAATGCCAGTTATAAAATCATAGGCTCACAGGATAATTCGGGTTGGAAGGGACCTCAGGAGGTGTCTAGTCCAGCCCCTGGTCCAAGCAGGGTCAGCCCTGAGCTCAAACCAGGCTGTTGAGGGTTTGTCCCGTCAGGGCTTGCAAACATGCAAGGATGGAAACCGCCCAACCACTCTGGACAGTCTGGCCCACTGCTTGACTGGCCTTGTGGTGAAAAACCATGAGGTTAAATTTATCGAAATAGTTGCTAAATAATACTGTATCTCAACTGACAGTCTAGGTGGTTTCTCTAAGGAAAGATTTTCCCTTTTCCCAAAGGCAGCTCTGTAAGTGATCCTTCTGCGTTCCTTTTGCAGCCTGCGAATGCAAGACCCACGGGCAGTGTGACGAAGGCTATTCAGGAACGGGACGATGTTTCTGCGAAACAGGATGGACTGGCCGGCTGTGTGAAACCAAGCTAGGTCTCTGCCTCTTCTCACCAGGCTCCGCCGCGTGGAGCCAAGGGTTGCTAGCACTTGCAATTTAACAGAGGATTTGCGTAGAAAAGAGAGAGAAAGGGTTAATAATGTCAGAAGCCCTCACTGGAGGCTAAGGGACTCTGCTCTGGACTCTGAATGTGTCCCTTCACCTCCCTGTCTCCGCTTTTGTGAAATGGGAATATAAGTGTTTACCTCCCCTGTGGAGGGGCTCTGGGTTACCTGAGGGAAGGTATCACCCCCCAAAAAATTCTGACAGGTTTTCCAGTTAGCAAGACTGGTATGATGGCTTTTCTTTCTGCATGAAACAAGGGCATTGCACTATAAATAGCATCTTCTCCCCCGCTGTTCTGCCTCCCCCCCAGCTCTGCAGCCAGTGTGTTCCCCGAGTTGCTCCGCCAACGCCGTCTGCAGGGAGAACAACACGTGTCAGTGCAAGCCGTTCTACGACGGCGATGGGATCACATGCACCGGTGAGCTCCCTCTCGCACAGCTTGCTACAAGAAAGCGAGTTGTCCCCTCTTGCACATGCACTCGTATGCAAGTTACCATCCGGTATGAAAAGTTGGCTAAAAAACCTAAAAACTTCCACAATGCAGCAAGTGAAACAAAGTCAGGATATGTACAGATCAGTTTTTTTCTGAAGCAAGTGGCTGGCTTCACCAGGCTTTACCGAGCAGGATTATGAGCAAGAGGTGCGCTTCAGTCAGGTTTTGGAGACAGTATGGGTTTTAGCAGTGTTTCACTTAATAGGATTTTCTTTGATGACCTTAGGCAAGGCAGTTCCCCAGTAACATCGCTGCAGAAACAGTCGTTCTTCCTGAGCCAGGTGTCTTGCGTCCTCTGAAGTCACCCTGGCCAGAGCAGAGTCCCCAAAAAAGCAGCTCTCTCGGGCCACCAAAAGGCAAAGCAGAGTCTCTGGGGGTGGTGCCACATCTCTTAAACCAACAATATCCTGACAAGGGCTTCAGAGCCCTAAAGGATAGCCTTTGCACAAGGTCAGGAATGCTTCAGGAAACTCAGTTTTTTTCCCCAAACAAGTGTCCTAGTATTTTTAGCGTGCCTTAAAAATCTGGAGGTGCTTTGTCTCTGTGAAGACCATCCTCTTTAAAAGCAGACTTTACTCACCTGTTTTCTTTTCGCCACACAGCTGCAGACCTTTGCAAACAAAACAACGGCGGGTGCCACAAGGCAGCCGAATGCACACAACTCGGGGTGAAAGTCTTCTGTAGCTGCCAGAAAGGACACAAGGGAGATGGCTTTACGTGCCTTCCAGTAAATCCTTGCGCTGACGGGTTCAACGGAGGCTGCCATGAGCATGCCATTTGCACTGTCATAGGACCTGTAAGTTGAATTATTTCAGTCACCAGCAGGGAAGTCTGAGGCATTTCTTCCCGGTGCCCGCGGAAGTATTTTCTCTGGCTGGATCACACCCTGTACCTCTCAAAGTCCCTGTTTTCCAAAACAACCTTTATGTAGCCCCAGCCTACTTTCCACATCAGTTTGGTAGCCTTTCAGCTGAGGAGTGAGAAACAGTTTGACTTCTTTGCTCTAGGGAAAGGGGTGATACAGCAGATGGGATATTTTGCGTGTGTGCTTTTTCTGTTCCCTTCTTAGCTCTCCTTAACTGCATATCCCTATTTGCAATAGGAGTTTGTTGGATTGAAACTGAATATATTTTGATAGCTAAACCTAGGGACAGCTGGGAGAATAGTGTCACTTGTTGGCTGGACGGACTCACCTTAAAAAGCTCTGCAGCCACATGATACTAATTCCTTGGCCCCCACAGTCAATGTTGTTGAGGAAAACTTGTGCCGGTGACTCGATGCAACATTTGTCTGGATGCTTTCGGGATCACCTGTCCGTTCCGTTTTGGTGGCTTGCCTGATGTGTCTTCCAGGAGCTATCTAGAAAAGCCTTGCCGCTAATCCGTTCCAGCTGCCAACCACCGCAATCCCTGGATGTCACCAGCTCCTGCTTGGTTTATAGCTCTCAATTTATTACTATCAGCAGGCTGATAAATTCCTTTCATGCTCCCATGCCCAGTTATTTAAATATCATTTTGATAGGTCTGCCATCCGTTTTTGTTAAATTACGTGTCATGTAATTCCCCAATGCACGTTATAGCTTTGTGGGTGGAATTATGCTTTGGTATTAATTCAGGAAAGCGCCCAAGTGCATGTGTAAATGTTTGCTTAGAAGAATAAATGTCGGTGTCAGAGTTTGTGGTCTGTTGAATCACAGCTGTTAGTAGCAACTTCCCTGTTTGTCCATTCCTGGCTATATCAAGTGAAATTTTTCCAACAGTTCAGAATGTTGCTTGAAATACCACTTTTATGTCAGCTAAGTACTTGGCTTGGCCTTCTTTATTCTCTCTCCGACCAGGACAAACGCAAGTGCGAATGTAAAAATAACTACATCGGCGACGGGCTGAACTGCTCGGTGATGCAGCTTCCCCTCGACCGCTGCTTGCAAGACAACGGGCAGTGCCACCCTGACGCCGACTGTGCCGATCTCCACTTCCAAGGTGAGGATGGCACACGGTGCACGCCACGGGACAGGGACATCCTCGTCTCTGTGCCACTGCACTGAAGCCAGCGGCCAGGATCCTCGTGTCTGTAAGCTCGCTCAGTCCTCTACCTCTGTCCCCTTGAAACAATGAGGTGATTAAAGTTAGAAAGTGTGCTTACGTACTTTGCGATACCAGATTTATGAAGCAATAGGTGAGGGCATTCCACGTAGGAATGTTACCCCGAAGGGATCAATCTGTCCTAACTACATTTCACAAAATTCACGGGTATTTGTATGGCACAGTTGACTCTGCATCCAGACATGGAAACCCCTTCAGGAAGAGCCGGTTCTTCTCTTGCTTTGCAGATACCACGGTTGGGGTTTTCCACTTACGGTCCCCACAAGGACAGTACAAAATGACTTACGAGAAGGCAAAGGAGGCCTGTGCCAATGAGTCGGCCACCATCGCAACGTACAACCAGCTGCTCTACGCGCAGAAGGTGAGCTAACCTCGCTGCGGGAGAGATCCTTGGAGCCGACCTAGCCACAGCGTAAATGGGGAGGGAGGAGCAAGGGGGCTGCTCTGTGCTAATAAGCTTCATGTTCCCTCCTTTCCTTCCCCCGTGCCCCAGGGTGTGTTTGGCTGGGAGCAGTTTTCAGACTGTTTATTGGTTTCGTGCCTGCTCAGACAGCACTGAAACCAGTTGCCAAGTTCTTGTTTCCAGTGGTACTGGGGTGAGATGGTAGAGTCAGACTTACAGAGTGTTTTCCTGCGGGTTTTAATTATTAGCACTTCTTAAAGAAATGTACACTTCAGAATTATGCTCAGATTAATTTGGTTTTTTAATGTGAGGCTCCAGGAATCTTTTCCCCAAATGCTGTTAAATTAGCAGACCCATTTCCATATTCTCTTCCTTGAGCATGTTATAGACAACACACGGCTGACGTTAGCAGGATGAGCATCATACCTTGGGTTTGCGAAACTTGTTTTAGAGGAGTGGGTCAGACTGACTGTGCCTTTCTGTCTCCTTCCCATCTGCGGAAGAAAGAGAAACGCTCACCGTTTAGAGACACCTTTAGTAAAATGTCAGGCTGGACCACAGCCAGCACGTAAATCTCCTTCTGCTGCCCAAGGAGATTCAGATTGCAGCCGGAGCTGCATGTCCCCTGTGCCCCATAGTCTAAATATTTACCTTGAAGCAGCAAAGCTGGCAAAGGGGCTGGCTCCAGCGCTCCTGGGGACTATTTTCTATGTTGAGCTGGTTTTTTGAGCCCTTCCCACGCTGACAAAAGGTAGGCTGGCACACAACGGGATTGCACATCCCCTTTGGCTTTCACACCCACCTCTGATCCTGCCCGGCTTTGGGCTCAGGGCAGCTTTTCCCAGGAAAGGCTCCTTTGGTCCGTACGGAGAGCCGCTGACTTTCAGAGGGGCCCCCGTCTCCGCAGCCCCTCGGCCCAGAACTCAGCACACGGCAGGCTGCAGGACAGACGGATGGACAGAACCCCCTCAGACCCTCCGAAAGAGTGCTGGCAGGTTGGGTGCTGCCTGAGCATCCTGGGGGGATTGTTCATTTCATCCGCAGCACCCCAAGCCCACCACCCAGCAATTCCCCTGGGTTTTTTCCCTTACGGCCGTGCCGGCTGCAGGCGAGGTACCATCTATGCGCTGCCGGCTGGCTAGACGGCGAAAGAGTGGGCTACCCGACCGCCTTCTCCTCCCCAAACTGCGGCTCCGGGTACGTTGGCATCGTGGACTACGGCAGAAGAGTCAACCTGAGCGAAACCTGGGACGTCTTCTGCTACAGGGAGAAAGGTAAGAGGGTCCTTCACTGCATCCCTCTGCGCAAAGGGGAGCAGCAGCCTGTGTAGGGTTCAATTATATGGAACTTAGTTACCGGGCCTGAAAGTAGCTTATGGTCACAAGAGCATTCCAGATGCCTTTAGAAGGCCTTGAACAGAATAAACAAGACAGAAAAAGAAAGATCCCAATTAGAAAAACACAGGTGCACATTCCACGATAGAGGGAACTTGGCACAACCAACCTCAATTCAGGGGCTTATCTTGGCCAATTGGACTGAGACAAGTTTTGCATGCTCTGGTTAATATAACCAATTATGTCCTGTGTTTATGGGCGTTTATACAGAGTGAGTATAACTAACTGTATCTTATGTTTATGCACATGAACAGTATTGATATAACCAATCACATTTTATGTTTGTGCGCATGGACACCAAATGCTTGCATGCAGCAGCCAATCAAAGCTTCTAAGCAACTTAGAGAACTGTATAAGAATGATCAGCTAGGCTCAATAAACTGGCGACTTTAATCATCATATCGGTGTCCTGTCATCCGGGCCCCGCATGGAATAACCCTAAACCCTACAGCCTGCATTTCGGTCCCTTTGGTCGGCCACAGGCTGCTAGATAACACTGCATGAGACTCTGCCTCTTTTTAACGTCAGAAAAAATATATATATAATCTGTTGCCTGCAAGCTGTTTTTCAGGCACAGGGCAGCCTAAAGCCTTCTTGAAAAGGGCGTTTGCCCACGCAGCTCTCCGTGTTTGTACCTTCCAGAGGTGGACTGCACCTGCAAGCCAGGCTACGTGGGGGACGGCTTCTCCTGCAGCGGGAACTTGCTGCAAGTGCTGATGTCCTTCCCAACGGTGACAAACTTCTTGTCGGTACGGCCCACGGCTGGCGCGCTGCTCGGTCAGGGGGAGCGGAGCAAAGCAGGCTCCGCCACTGGGTCGTATCTCAGGGTTTGCTTTACTAGCACGGCAAATACAGGTAACGACAGCCCACCAGCGAAGCGAGGTGGAGTGGTCTAATTCTGCACCCTCAAAATCAGAACTTAGTTGCTATTTTTTGCATTGCTTGCTCCGAAGAGGTTTCAGGTTTCTAAAACGTATTTGGAAAGCAAAGGCGGCTGCAGCTTTAACTTAAAGGGGATTCTGTGCAGAACTGCTCCCGGCTTTTTCGGCGTCACAAGGAGAGCGGTGCTTTTTAACTTTATTGAATCGCTGCTGGGGAAAGGCAAAACATTAAAAGGGTCCTTTTCTTGCCACTACTCAGAAAGGCATTGTAAGTAGCCTCACAGCCAACAAGGGCCTAACTCCTGCAAGTCAGTTGAAGATGTGCTCATCAAACAGCAGCTAAAACTGGGTTTTGAATACAAACTTCTTTTGTAATGTCACTCCAGAGCTGCTTCATGGCTAATAACAGAAGGCTTCTTTGTCATTGTTTATACAGTCTCATCTTTTCAGCTCCCCGCACAGGAGCGCACAATTGCTCTTTAGTAAAGCTGGATTTTGTTTCTGCCTAGGACATCATGGCTTACTCCAACAGCTCTAGGAAGGGGAGAGAGTTCCTGCGGTACCTCACAGACCTGTCAGTGCACGCCACTCTCTTTGCTCCAAACGACAGCGGGTTAAGGGAAAATGAGGTCAGGGTTTTTTTCTTTTTTTCCTTCCTCGTTTTAATAACACTTCTTAAACTGCCATTATAGGTTTCTATATCCCAGTGAAATTTAAGCGTGGGGAAAAAAAAAAAAATCTTAGTATGACATGACTTCTGTGTAACCCCACATACTTTAAACTGCGGTTCTGAAAGAGGCGAGTTCATTTCCATTTCTCTTCCACAGTTAGGAGCGCAAGGTTATTGAGCGTTCGAGTCACTACAGAGACTTTTCCATCAGGGATTTTAGTTACCTAGTTATAAAAGAGTCTGCCTGAGATGAAGTCTGTTCTGGCTTATTAACATCAGGCACAGTTATTTGAAGAAAGCAGTGCACAGCTTTGGTAGTTCCCACACATACATTAAAGGCACCTGTTCCTAGCTTCACATCTATGCTTCTCCCTTTTTTCCTTCCTTCCTTCCGTCAAACATCATCTCAAACAATTCACACGGGTTTATGCCCTGCCTTACATCTTCAAGCTGCTTGGATAATCTCTGAGGCTCATCGCTTCAGGTCATTGTACAAAAGCATAAAATCCTTTGTCCCACCAGAATCGAGGTACTGCCTGCTCAGGCAGCCATCAGAGGCCAGCAGGGACAGAAGATCCCACTGTTCGCATCCAGATTTCCCAGTAGCCTCTAGCCCATATTGCACTTGCAATTAATAGCAAGGAGGGGGAAAGGTCACAGGCACTTAGCCTACTTGTAAATCCAGAGGATTAATGAGATCAGTTAATGTTCCTTGTATTTTGCTCTCATTTGCAGACACTTTCCGGGCGAGACATCGAGTATCATTTATCTAATGCCAGCATAATGTTTTACGAGGACTTGACCAACGGAACCACTCTTCTAACTCGTCTAGGGGAAAAACTCCTCATTACAAACACCAAGAGCCAGGAATATCAAGCCCCCACCACTGAACAGGTACCTTTTTAATAAATCTCCCATCTTCATGCTTCTTCCCCCCTTATGTTATACCCAGTAATGGGGTGACATGCTGATCCAGAGAGCAATTCAGTAAGGTTAAAGTGGGCAGCAACAAAAGCCTGACTTCAGAAGGGGCTTTCCTGCCCAGAGACTGCAGGATAGCAGCTGGCAAACTGCAAATTTACACGTTTGCCCATGGCCAAGCTCTGACCCGCAAAACTCAAAGGAAGCTGTTCAGGTGGCCTGCAGGGACGGCAGGATGGGGATATGGGCTCGATTCAACCCTTCTCTCAGCCTGGCAGGATTATGGGAGAGAGCAATGCAATAGGAGGAGAGATCAGAGCAGCAGCTTATCATTAAAGAAAGGTGTGGGCATTTCTAAAGTTTCTTGGTAACTTTCTGGGAGAGGCAGGAGACACCAGCACAGCCTTGCTCGGAGCAAAAGCAGATAAAACAGTGGTTTCCTTTTTTTATTACTACTTCAGTGCTTTTTAAATGCAAAAATTTATATCCTTTTTTGCAAATCGAAAGTATATTTGCAAATGGAAAGTTGACATTTTAGAGAACACATCCTTTGAAAGCACACCCAACTTCTCCTTTTTGTATTAAGAAAATACTCACTGCCCAAGCATTTCAAATTACTTCTGTGACAGAAACCCCTTGAGACCGAGGCTGGGACTCTGCTGTGGGTGAGGCTGTACAGCTGAATAGGAAAATAAGAAACCCCACGCCTGTGGGCTTGCAGTTAAAATGTGCTCTAGAGAATGGTGCTGGACCCAAGGAAAGTTGAGTGCCCAACATGCCAACTGGGGGGGGGGGAAGCGGATTTTCACGGACACCAACAAGAAGGAAATAGGTGCTGCAGGAACAGCTGCACAAATGAGTCATCTGTTGCCTTTGCTCCCTTCCTCCTTCCCCTTTCAGGAGAACTCCTTTGGCATGAGAATTACCATTTATATTTTTAAAACCACCCTATACTGCAAACCCAGTAACTGCATTAATAAAGTATATCCTTGTGAGAGATCAGGTGCGCTAGCACGAGGCTTACCTGTATCACTCATTAGCATGCCAGGAGCTCTTTTGGATTGCTTTGATCTGATATTTGAGCTAGCAGACATTCTCCTTAAAAAAAAATCCTCCTTTCTTCAAAAGCTGCCAAGGGGAGGCTCTGAGCCCATTAACACAAATCTCGCTCCTGCCCTTCAAAGCTGGTTGGAAATTCGTAGCTTTTCTTCCTCCCTGGAGGACCCATGGACGCCCTCGGATGCGGTACAGCTCGGCGGGGTGCCAGGGTGGGAAGGAGAGACAGCAGCCGCTTCCCACGCGAGCTCTGGGCAGCCGAGCACCCACCCGTCCCAGCTCCTGGTTCCGCTCACTTGAGGAGAAACCATTTTGCTAGGACGCGATTTAAAGCGGCATTTGCAATAGGGCAGGCGCCCACGGATCCACTCTCCCAAAACACAGACGCAGGCTGGAGAGGCTCAGGACCAGCCCAAAGCAGTTGAGGACTCCCATTATCAGCAGAGTTTCGAGAGGCGTTGGGGTGACAACGACTGATCCCATTCCTCTTCCTTCCTAAAAAGCTGCCAAATGGGACCAGCCTCCAGCTCGCAGATGCTAGGTCACCAAATAAACTGCGGGCAGCGGCTCCCCATCAGTGCTGAGCCAGCTCTCTCGAGCCAGCAAACTCAGAGCAAGTAGCATCCTCAGCGCAGAAAGCAGCTGTAACGGAGGTAGGCTGCAGCCTGCCTGGCACTCAGGAGTAACAACGCTCCTATGCAGAACTTGGCAATTGCACAAACATCACAAAAAACTCTTTTTTTTTTTTTTTTTTAATAAAGACAAAGAAACATCTGAAACATCTGAAGGCAATATGCAAGTAATGCTAATGGCTACTTCATGCACAGCCTGGGGCCATCCCAGGCTGCTGCCCAGGGAGGCAGCACCATAAGGTCCCATGTGATTTTTCGCTCTGTCAGTAACCGAGGTGGGGAAATAGTCTCAAGGTTTATTTCAGTCCCAAAGGGAGGAGGGCTAAAGCTCAGCTCTCGTTGCTCTTTGTCCTGGCAGAGTGAGATCAGATATGTGGATGGAAGTGCTATTGTTGAATGGGATATAATCGCTTCCAACGGGATAATCCACGTCATTTCAGAGCCTTTAAAGGCTCCGCCAGCACATGTAAGTACATAGGGATTTTTTTTTGGGGGGGGGGGGGGAGGTGGCTGTGGCTTACATGATCCCAAACTCATTGCTGACATTCATATATTCCCAGTTTCCTTCCCATATATGCAGTCTGTTTAAAAGGTTACTTTGAAAGAAAATTGGAAGTTGAGAACAAGGTGCCAGTGAAGCCTATTCCAAATGTTTCCGTCTGAACAAGTTCTTCCCACATTTATTTTATATAAATAAAATAAAAGCTCCATTTTATAATGGAGCTTATTTTTCTAGTGGAGGTTTGATAAAGCTCCATTTCAGTTCTTCCAAAAAGATCTTTCAAGTTTCTAAGGAAAATTTTTTATTCTTGGCTTTGCATTCATTCCAATCCAAAACAACAAGGTGTTTCGAAAATAGATATTTTTTGTCTGCATAAATCCCTGCAATGGTCCCAGTTATCCAATTATCTCTCCCATTAGAAAGACCAAACCAATGGTACAGGGCCCAGCAGCAGGGAGGCAGGAACATTGTTGTGATTATTTCCCACCAGCAAAGTTTACTGCTTTGTACGAAAGGGAGGAAAAACCTTTTGTCCACCTGCAGTGCGACTAGGACATTTCACAAAAGTGGTCCCTGCTGCCCCTGGGAGAGGTGCACAGCGAGCTCCTTTTTTCCCCAGTACAGAATGTTTTCCTTAATGAAGTGTTCCGATGCGCAGTGTTAGCGCTCCCCAGCTCTGTTCCACGCAGGGTACTCCGTGCCAGCCCAACACAGGCTCAAGCTGACCTTGCAAGAAGACCCACCATTTACTTAATCTGAAGAAATTCCCTTCAGTCGGGGCAGCTCATTCTGATCCTTCTCTCTGTGCACTGGAGGGGCCTCACTCAACATCAACAGCCCATCCACTCCAGCTCGGATTTTGGAAGTGGTTAACCAGCCCCCTCCTTGGTCCACAAGATTAATCCTACTGATACCCTATTTCTCACCTTCATTTTGTTCTGAGCAACCCTCTCTCCTTTACAAACCAGCCTTCTTGTTCCTAGAAGCTTAGCAATATGCCTGCAAAATCATGGTTCACAAAAATCCCTTGCAGCCTACAATCTTCAGAAGTAGGAAATGAAACACTTGGGTAAAAGCGTAAATTACTGCCTGAAAATGATTCAAAATAATAGGCAATTTCTGTCAGTCTACAGCAGCATGATATTACCATCTTTATAATACCTCTCTCATGCTAGAGGGCAATGAAATGTTTTCTAATATTTAGCTGTCCAGCTGCACCATATAAATTACTTTGTTTTCTAAAAAATAAATGAAGAGAGCGTATCTATTAAGACGACAACGTGATTATTTTTGCCAGGGTAAGTTTAACAATTAGTTTCCTAAGCAGGAGGCTACAGAGCTAAGGTATCACATGGAAAAGCAAAAGGAACAAAATAGGAACCTTCCACCCATTTCCAGACCCCTCCTCACCTCCCGGATTGCCAGCGAACAGCACGGTGCTTTGGGGAGACTGCATACCCTAGGATCCCTCAAACTTACCATCACCCCAAAACTGCCAGTCACCTTCATAATATCCATCTATCAGGCCACAGAGCTGCAGAAGGCAGAAGCCAAAGTCTGGACACACTTTTCCCATAAGTACCTACGTACTTATTAAAATATTTATAAAATATTATATACAGTTACTTGGATTGGCACTTTACCTGCTTGACTGAAGAATGATTTCAGGTGAAAGGCATTGCACGTGTTGGGGCAAAACAACCTACAGAAGGCAGGCGTTGGGCCGCTGACGGAGCCCAGCCCCGCACACCCTCTGCGCAGGCTGGCAGCCCCTCCAGCCTGCGATGGGGTGGCCCTCGGCTCCGATGCGGTTTGGTTTGAGGATGGTATGCCGGCCGATAGCTGGCAATAACCAACACCTCCCCGGTGCGCAAAGCAGTGGGGAAGAAGCTTGAACCCATACAGAGCCCTCTAGGGTTTGTAGCACAGGTTTCCTAAGCTGCTTAAGGGAATTTGGTACCCATTTCTCCTCCTCAGGCCGGCGGGGTTTCAGCCTCATCATAGCCGCTATTGCTACTTTGAAAAACCTGGCCAGAAAAGATCACTTTGGCATGCTCTGTAACTTCAAAACCATAAATAAGATGAAGCTGTACTAGAGGCAATGTCCAGTACCACCACCCCCCAAAAAATCTAGCTTGTAATTACTATCGAAAGGCCATATTTGACTGTCTCTAGGGAACACGCACCAGGAAACTTGAGCACAAAAGCAGTTCAGGACTAGAGGCATATCTCAAAGGGACACTGCGTGTGCTCGGGTGCTGGAAGGTGACCAGTGCCCACCCGTAGCTCACTCACCCTCTCTCTTGCTTCCAGGCTCCTCTCCACGCCGGTAACGGAACAGGAATATTCTTTGGCATCTGCCTGGTTACAGGAATTGTGGCTTTTATTGGATATTCTTACCTCAGGTTCAGGAAGAGAAACACAGGCTTCCAGCACTTCAAGGTAGGCAGCAGACAGGAACGTGAAGCGGGGGGGTACCAGACCTCTCCCTCCAGGGTGCCCGACGGGCTCCTGCTCTCACAGACGCTTCCAACACCAAGGACTGGCCAAAATCTTATTTAACTACAGAGCACAGTGCAGACGCCTTTGCCTCCCCAGAATGATCACCTTAGGGAAGCAGGTAATTACAACTACTGAAAGGGGACCTGTTCTCTTCCCCCTCCTCCGCAGCATTGCTAATAATTTTGTTGCTCTGGAGGTTTGATAGGGAAAAGGCCAGATTCAAAAGACAAGCAAATTGAAATGATTGCAGGATTGAGAAGTGCAAATTTTTACACCAATGCACTTTCACGCTTGCTTTCTCTTAACTAACTTTGCTAGCCTTGCATAGTATCATAATGATGCAAAAGCAGCCAGCAACAGCCAAGCTACTCAGAGATAAGGGATGACAAAAAAAAAAAGTTACAAAATACACAAGAATCAATCCAAAAGAAAGACTACCTAGAAGTAACCAGGAATCCCTTCCTATTCTAGCCCCTGCATGTAATGTGAATCATCTTCTAGAAACAAAAAACAGGAGCCATGAGCCAAGGGAAAAACTTGTATTTTTATATAGTTGCAATGAGAGCGCTCCGGACCAACCAGGTACCTTTTACCCCAGGCACCATATCAGGGCAACACTTCTTCTCCCCATCTTTGCTGAGGCATAAAAAATAATAAGGGAGTGGAAAAAAAAGATAGCAGTGTTAAGTGACCTGAGATAATACAACCACCCAGAACACAGTTCATGCCCGGGAGACACTGATTCAGTTGATAAAGCCAGTTCAGTTACAACACTGCACCAGTTGGTAGTGAAGCTTCAGTGCCCCACTTAATGCACTGTAGGAGGAGGATGGATTTTAAGCAGGTTTGTGTGATTTTGTGTAGTCAATAGATGACACTGACGTAACATCACTGGACAAGTCACAGCCTTCTATCACCAACCCCTCATATGAAAGTTCTTCTGCACTGACTCCACCAGAACCTACTTATGATCTTTTCTCAGTAAGTGTTCATTTTGATTTGAGACACAACTAAAATAAATGGTAAGAGGGAATGACTTCATGAAAGGAAAATGTCTAGTTGGAAAAAGTAAGAAAAATTAATTCAGGAAAATTCAAGTTCCTGGCTTTCCTGCCTCACCACTGCTAGAAATTGGGTGGCCTCACTTGTAACAAAATTGAGATACAGCTGTATACTACAGCCTCAAGCCTACCTTCAAAGACAGCTGAATTAAATCAGACTTCAAATGCTACTGAATGCCAGTGATATGTCTATACAAACTTAAAAAGCCTTCCAATTTTGTCTTCCCTTCTCCTTGCTGCAAAAGCAGCTGAGTGTCATGCCAGCACTCCAAAGAATCTGAAATGCAGCGGGAAAGGGGCTGGGAATCGAAGGAAAGATTGAGTGAAGCCAGAGTATCTGAATAGCTTCAGTGGTCTAATTTAGCAAGACCCTCACATACATGCAGAGTCTAAAACCAAAATAAACCTTTTTGCATCCAGTAAAAGGCTTGTTTGGTGCAAAAATGTCAGGTGCAAGCTCTGCCACTTGTATGGGCAAATCTGCCAAAAAGTGACTTTCATTTCTTAACTCAATGTTCAAGTCTGATTTTCTTTTTCTTCTATTTTACAGGATTCGGATGACCAGCAGCTTGTGATGACTGGTCCTCATGATCAAAATTAAAGACTGAATTTGGCATTAGTCAATTATAAAACACATTTCTATTTACACTTACTGTGAAAAAACAGCACCTACAGGTTGTAGGGAATGAAATCTTGTTACAAATTAAAAACCAAAGAGCACAGCTTTGTTTATGATGCAGTCTCTAGAGTTCACAGAGTTACCAACCTCAGAAGTGTTGGCTGGATCTGAGCAATACCAACTATGAGTGCCAAATGCAAAACTGAGTCTCAACTAACCTACCCAGAAGCAGACAGACACCTCTGTGAAAAGTAGACTTTCACTAGCCTGCTATTTAACTGCTTTTATTCTTCTTCAGAGACTTTAAAATGGCCTCAAACACACAGGGCTGCTAACTTGGCAAATACCATAAATTTACTAGTACTCCAGGCTCTACGCTTTCATTTTGGCTCTGTTACAACTACAGCTGGCAAGCGTGAAACAGAACGTGTTAAACCTCTATTTTTAAACCGAGGGGATTTTTTGCTAGTATACTTTCTTGCAAGAATTTCAGCAGCAGGAAACACAACTATCCTGTCTGCCCCCCTTGCCTCCTCTAGCTTTTCTGTCTTGCCTCGAACTTGACTGTGTTTTGTTTACATCTCCTCTCAGTGTACAAAGGGAAACAGTAATTGTAGCAGCTTTAGCAAGAAATACAGGTGACATGAGAGCATTCAAATCGTAATTTTTACTTGAGCCATTTTTGTGGCAAGTAGACAATGAAGATGAACATACCCTCGCCATGTCATGTTCACATTCAGTTTTTTAGGTCTGAGAGGAGCAGCAGCTACCTGCTTGTTCACATACCGTATTTTTACCAAGCACGTTACATTGCCTTTCAACCGACGCACAGCAGTAACAGCTGCAATTTTCACCGTACTATTAGAAGTGAATCAAACTCGAGTTTGATTCACTGTTGTTTCCTTCCCTCAAAACATTAATATCATAGCAAATTGTGAGAACACTGTAGAAACCAAAAAAAGCAAGAAAAGGAAGATTTTCTTGCTAGCAGCAGTAACGTTCCCCTGTGATACGCTTCCTGGTGTCTACTCCGCGTGGGGGGCAGGAGGGAAGGTGTCACTCCAGGAAATCATTCCTTACCTCTGAGAGCAACCCCAGGATGTCTCCCAGCAGAACAAGGTATGCAGACAAATCCGGGGCTGTTGACACAGCTATCAAGCACAACCAAGGGAATCTAAAAGTAATTTCCCTGACTCCTTCCCTTGCCCCCCTACGCATGCTTGCTTCTTTTTACCTATGAAATATTAAAAAATTTAGAACACAAACACACTGAAAACATACACACATATTTAGGGGAGTTTTCCCCACAGAGTTTTGCAATTAATACAACTCATGTTCTTTCCTTCTCCCCAGTCACCCAAAGTATTAAGGCTCGTAGGGACCAGAAGATAAAGTCCAAGCATTTATTTTTGTAATAATCATTAAATATTTTTATCACAAAAGAAGTTCTACAGTTCATTAAACTCTTCTTTTATTGACAGACTATTATCCTCTGTGTTTTTGATAGAACAGAATGAAAATTTCTTCTTGCTTGGGTGTTCAAATGAACTATACTCCCAAAATGAATATAGAGACACTGCCCTTTAAACATGCTCAAAAATCTCTTTGAAGTCAGTAACATAACAAGGATAAAATAAGTAATGCAGAGAGCGCCAAGGTGAAATCATTACAAAAATGCAAGACATTTTTAAAAGTTAAAGAGCAGCATTCTAGCACTGAAAAATAAATAATATAGTTTAAAATTCTCACTTAAATCCATATTATACATAGTTGGGTTGTCTTAAAGGAACATAACCCTCCCATATTTATTTTTTTTTCATGCAAGGTTGTTTATTTCAAGAAGTCATGCAATATAAACAAGATTTTCCTTCAGCTGGCTGTTGTAACATAGCTTTGTACAGAAGTTTGATTTGTAAGTTAAGAGAAAAGACGGTGGAGAGGAGAAAATAATCTTGAAACAAAATGTGTATTACATGGATAACATTACTGTTCCTGCTTAACACAGGTAAATTAAGCAAACTGACTCCTAGCCAGCTTTAAAAGAATAAATATCACAGAGCTATAACCAACAAAACATTAGCAAATTCAATAATGCACAACTGAGTAACAATATTATTATTTGCTGGTAGTAAGACAGAGAATGTACAGTGGTTTGGGGTTTGGTTTTTTGGGTTGTTTTTGTTTTTTTTTAAACAGTGCATTGAAATCTCTTGAGCATGAGAGGTGCTACACACATGTAACACCAAGTTCGGTTCTAGCTGAGCATTAGGATAAAGAACTGAAGGCAAATCTGGGTGTTTCCATCCCCACATTTCATTATCAAGTTATGCTAAATATTTCTTGCACAGCCCCACCAACAAGTCTCCTGATAAAGCCAAACTTAACTTCCTGCAAAACTTTATCTTTTTCTTCCAGCAAAACAGCAGGACTGTCAAGATGAACTTACTCATTTCAAGTATATTCATCTGTTTAAATAACACACACACACACACACTCTTCAGGAGTGTTCCACGTCAAGTTTGAAACAGGAGCACAAGAAAACCATGAACATAAAATCTATAACCACCTCTGAGGACTTCAGACTGATTTCAAGCATACAGGAAAACTACTTATGAAATTGTACAGGCTAGATCAGAATACATTCTTTACTTTGCAAACATACTTTTAAGAATAGGAAAGATACTGCATGTGAAATTCAATATAGGTACTTGCACATAATACAGGTTAAAAAAAAGAACACCAAACAGAAAACTTTTGGTCACCAAAAGTTTGTTTACCTGACAATCATGGTAGGAAGCAAGTGATATCCCCAAAATGAAGAATACCAAATGCTACATATTTTGTTAGTTATATGCTTTTAAAAACAGAGCCTTTAATAACTAAAATTTGAAAAATATTAATCATATAATGCCTTCTAAAATGGCTGGGGTGGGAAGCACCAGTTAAAAAAAACAAACAAAAAAAAGGTCTCCTTTGGATGCAGAGAAAGGAAAGCATCCTTATTTCAAAACAACTATATAGCAGTTCTATAAAGTGCCTGTTTGAGGAAAGACATCAACAGATGCTTTCCTTGTGCAAAATAGACATTTTTCAGCTCACATCTTTGGAATATATATACTACCCAGAGTTTGTGTTCATGCATTATCTGCAATTTCAGTAATTTCAATAAAACTTCTAATCTGCACCACCAAAATTATTTTGCTTGATGCAAACTGTCCACCACGCCCAATTCAGCTTTTGGGGCTTGAGCTAAAAAAATGTCATCCGAAAACTCTGGTTTTCATTTTCTCATTCCTTCATTTTTCTTTTAACTCATTTGCCTATTGTGCGTGTTTACTTTTGACTGTAAAAGTCCATTACTGAAGGCTATATGAAATATCTTCTCTTCTAGGGAACAGCAAAACCACATTACATACCACTGTAAGACACTTAAAATTTTAATAAGCAGCATTTAGGATCAGTCTAAAGCCTGACAGAGATCTGCCTCCACTTTGAAATGCAAAATGCAGGACCTCTTGAAATGGCTTTATTATTAGAGAGTGGATATTTAAAGTGTTTTGAAACTTAAAAAGAAAGGTGCCTAGAAATTAACAAAAGGAAGCTGAAGTGGCCCAAGGTACTGTCACTTTCAGTTTTAGGCTCAGGTCCACCGACAGCCAAGCACAGACATTACAAGAACAGAAACTGCATGGACAGGAGAAAAAGCCCATCAGCCTGAGCCTGCCAGCTCTGTAATCACTGCAATGCAGCAGAGCCACACCAACATTACAGCGGTTAGTTCAGGTACAGATAAGGCTCTAGCTATGGCAGCAAGGAAAGTTAAGATGCATACACCATCCTTCTCAGTCTCACCGTAAACTGGCTACTAACTGTGTATCACTGAATTACTAATACTGGATTTAAGCTTTTCAGTGCCAAGATCCACTACAGGCTCCAGCTGGAGCACTGAAGAGGGCCAGAACAGAGAGTACACGTCTGTCTTTGTAAACCACAAGGCTGCAGATCGAAATTTCCAATGAACAAAACCAACCACCCCAGAACACCACCGGTCCTTCCCCTTAAATGTGCCCTCCCTCCCAGCCCACTGCTATTTTGGCAGTCCATCATCTCTTCCGTGTGTAAGAGGAGTTTTTATATCTCTGAGCAGGAGAGGAGAAAATAGGTACAACACTCATGAGAACAAGTATGAATTACACCTAAATCAAGAGAACAGATTTAAGCGACTTCAATAAAATACATGTACATTCAAAAAAGAAAAAAAGATAATATTTGCACATTTTAAAAGGAAGCTGCCAAGTGTTTATTTGATCTGAACTGTCTCTTGTAGGAAAGGTATTCTGAATGTACCAGTACACAGCTGGTCTGACCAGCCAGGAAGTTCATGCTGCAAAGGAGTCCTTCTTGGATAAAACGTGTAATCAGGCTCATAGTTCAACAGACAACTCAATGATGCCATGTAGATATCCGCAAATCTAGAGAGACGTCTTAAGAAATAAGTTGGATTCTCATCAGTTCTGAATAAGCTTCCAAACTGTGCATTGAAGAAATTCCTGTTCATCTCCCTGTCCCCCCAAAAAAGAAAACAAAGAGAATGAACATACCTGCACACATCTCTCTCCCAGCTAGCACCCAGAACCTGAAGCAAGCAGTTCCTGCAATCTGTTTTATGCATTATTCTCTTACCATTGCACTTCAAAACACTTAAATGCACCACATAAGAAATGTTTGCACCTCTTGCACTTATGTAGCCCAGATCTAGCAATCACAGTAACGAACAAAAGAGCTTCACACTTCTCCCACTACCACCAGTGATAAGTTGCTTCTGACTTCAGAAACATGGTATCTCAAGCTTTCCTTTCTAGAGTTTGTGAAAGACAGCTTCTGGCTTCATCTAAATCCTAATGACATCCACTTCTCCCAAAGATAAAAGACTTTAAAAAAAAAAACAAACCCACAAAGCTTTGGCTTAATGTACACAAAAAGTTTAAACGCATCTTGGAATTAACTTCTGTTATTAGTTACTGCCAAGTATCATTCCTATTTCATTTACTTCCACATTTCTGGGGAAGGCTGCCGGTGGTACAGCTGTCGGCCTTGCCAACTACACGCTTCACACACCCTGCATTTAGGCATTGCTCCTTCACGATAACAGATTTTTAGGAGTTTTAGCCCTATTACTTATCTTTGTGATGAGTCCACTGCTAGTCTAGTGCAGAGCCCAGTTTCTGCATATTCTAAAATGTATTGTATGTAATTTGAAAAAATCATCTAAAAAAAACTGAAGTGACCTAAGTCTTGATACAGAAACACATTTTTAAATCATGCAGAAGTAAAGCTGTGTAATCAATAGCAACAGTGACAGCTGAACATAAAGGGACAGGAGAACTGAGACGAGAAGGAAAAGTATTTGATATGATGTTACCCTTTCATACAGAAAACTAACATCTGTTCCAAAGAAGGGGAACAGGGAAAAGGGGTTCATATGCATGAAGGGTCAGAAGAGACAAGTAGAATATTGCTTTACACAGACAATTGTAGAAGGTCTGGAACTACCAGGGAATATACATCAGGGATGGAGAGAAATTCTGAAGAAATCTGTGGAAGACATCACATAAAACACTTGGCTACCATGAAGCATACTGCAAATTCTTCGTCTCCCGTGTCTTACCTCATTTCCTTTCTTTCCTTCTTCCATTCTTCTAAAATCATTTGTGAATCAGGATCACGGTGAACCTGGAATGTAAAGTATGGATAACAGGTAACTAAGGATGCACTTGTAAATGAGCCTTTCCATTAATAAACCCTTACCAGCTAACAGGACAAGAGCAATGCTTCAGGAGATCAGTATACAGAAGTTATCCACATGCATTTTAAAAAAATGAAAGCAGGAATCAATCCAGGCTGACCAGTGGAAGAAGGGGACAAGATTTTGAGAAAACTTTTATTAACTAGCCACACAAATAATTGCATTTATTTATCTACAGTCAAACTGGTGAACTTTAATGAGACATAAAGCACTCGCAACGTCAATGCCCAGCATTTAGAAACTTGGCTGGATCCCTTCTGCTATACAGAGCTGATTACACACACACAGAACAAACCTGCATGTGTTCCAGTAATCCTGTCAAGGTTTGCAGCCAGGTCATGGTTTGAATGTACTTCTCTGTGTTCATGATTTTAATCTCTGATCGTAACTCTGGAATAATTGCACCAGTGCGCCAGCCGTGCTTCAGGGTCAAATCCTATTTACCAAGAATTACAAAATATAAGTATTAGTCTTAAAAGGAACTACTTAAAGGAACTGAAGAATTTGACCACTGTTTATCCCAAAGGGGCACTAATTTAATTGCTTCTTATGTATAAGCAGAAACATTAAACAGTGGGACTTAACTGTGCCAATAGGCAATAGAATTTGATTTCAGAGTAAGCTTCAAATCCCACATTGTTAAAAAGAGGGAGACAAAGAACACATAAGCACTTGCAAATAAGCACTAATTCGTTAGGTTTAAAATAAAGAGTAGGAAATTCCTCTTGTTCATGAGACCTCTGCTGCTGTGAGAAGTATCTGGAGAAAACCATGTGTTGGGTTTGTGGTATTTACCCATACACTCAACTGACAGAAGGGTTGTATCGGGACCCCCAGCTATTCAAGCTCCTCTTGACAGGTACAGGACAAGGCAGCTGCCACCTGTGCTCTCTCCTCCATTGTGCCAGAGAAGGAGAGAGCTGCATCCTCCTTCCTTTAGCCCTCAGCCTTCTGAAGCACCCAAACTTACTTTTCTTTTTAAAAGCAGATCAGGGCAAAAACGTTAACATCCGCTGCTGCTGAACCATGTTACCACAGCTTGGCAGTGGAAAGTCATACCCAGGCATTCATATACAATCAACTACAAAAGAGTTAAGTGGTGGCCACTTACTCTAAAGTAACAGTTAACAGTACATTTGTTCATAAGGTAGTAAGAAAGTGCCTGGACAGCGGGGCTACAAACCATAGCAAGATCTCAGGAAGAAAGAAAGTTTACCGTTAGTGACAGGAAGTTCGCCTCCTGCATTCAAAACAGAAGTTCATTCAGCTCTTATTACACTCCGTAGTAAATGTCATCCAAACCAGCCATATCCTGTACGTTTGGATATCTGTGTTTACTCTCTGTTACATCTGACACAATCAGTATCTGGATCAGTATTATGAACTCACACATTCCTGAGTGTAGTTTGTAAATAAGTTAAATGCTACAAGTCAGGTGGAAAAATATTGTTGGCCTTTTACGGCACCAATTTTCTTCACTGCAAGAAAAGCAATATGGCTTAACTACCAACTCAAACTTTGTTGTATTTAGAAATCTCAAATGAAAGTATGTTATATTGAACAACTGGGGAGGAAGACAGGGAAACTAACAAAAAGCCTCTCCTTTTATCCTATTTTGTGGAAGTAAACTACTTACTGCCAAGTCACTGTAAATGTGATCACCAAAGTAGAGAACCTTAGAGCCCCTCCAGCCAGTAAGCTTCAGGAATTCATACAAGTTACCCTGTGGAAACAATGACACATACATTGTAGTGGCATGCAACTTGCACCTTCATGGGCATAAAAAAGGAATTTAGTACATTGCTAAAAATATTTTCATATCAAGAATCTTGTCCTCTGTTTATGTATCATGAATCCCAAATTTTACAGACGATTTCAGTAATACTGTCACTTCAAGAGGCAAGTAAACTTCAGACATACAATACCAACAGTGAATTTGTACTGCTTCAATCACTAAAATAACTCTCTTAAAGAATATATCTACCTTTTAGAAACCTTCATGATATCTAAAGAAGCTTGGGATTCTAGGAAATAGGTATTAAATTTGAACTGAAAGAGTTTATTGAAAGCGTACCTGTTTGTAAATCTGACCCTTCTGCAGCTTGTGAATTTTGTCCCAAAGCAACACTCCCCTTTCATTCACCTTCCGAAAAGGTCTAGAATAGAATTATATACAATTGTTACATTACTGTAGAAATTCTGTCACTTTTTAGGAGAAGATTAAAATTTTAGTATTAAAAATATTCATCTTTCAAAAGGAAAACATGCTCTCTAGCATCTGAACATTTTGTAACAGACAGAAAAAGCAAAGCTCCAAAACTTTCACTTTAGGCAGTGAAATACAATGGATCTATCCAGTATGCTTATGACATTTATAATGGCATTTGAGAACAACTTTTGAGAACTAAGGCAGGGATCCCAGAGAGAGTCAGAATTGTCTGCCATTAAGGAGAGAAGAGAACACAAAAAAAGTGAAGATGTGTAAAAATCTTGTCCAATACCTGATTTTGTACAACTGAAGAAGGGGGCAAGAGGACTGGGGGCAAGACATACAGCAAAGTTCTTCTTAAAATTAAATGAAAACAAGTAAAGGGAAAAAAAATCCCACCATCCTCTATCTCACTTTCAAATCTTAAGTACACATAAAGGAATAGGTCTTTTTCAAGCATAAGAGTAGTGTATACGCATTACAAATGTGTTTACTTAATTGAACTAGTCCAAATACTCCAGTTTGTCAGCCAGTCTGCCCTCTAAATATCATGTGTGACTAACAAAAAAAAAAAAAAAAAACAAAACAACAAACCAACAAAAAAACAGAAGCAATGAAAGAGATTTCCAGATAAGGGGCTGATTCTGAAAGGCACCAAAATTTCTCAGGTTTATTAGGAAAGGAACACACTTCACCAGCTTACAAGCTAAGATGTTAAAAACAGCTTCTGTGACCCTAACTCAGTCCAGTAGACCTGTATCATCTACTGGAACTTTCTCAGCTAAGAAATGGTAAATATCTGGACTTCAGCATTGGGTGTTGCTGCCTTCTGTAATGACCTTAAACAGGATTTCAGCAAATATGATTTCATTTTACATTGCATCTAAATTAAAATATTCCATACCATGCTCTATAGCCTTATATGGAATAAGCTGCTTGAATCATTCTTTACTAACTAAATACCCACCTTCGCTTATCATTGAAAAAGTTTGGCTTATCAGCCTGTACAATGACCACATCAAAGAGATCCCTCCAGTCCTTGCCGACTATGAACTTCATGCCTTTGTCCCTAAAAAGGACAGAGGGATATTAACAGTGAAGCGTAACAGAAGTGCAGTTATCTGTTCAATAATGTAATGAATTACATTCAAGAACCTCATCCTCCCCATCCTTTAAAAACATATAGTTGAACAGCAAACAACTGTTCACTTACACAAAGCTGCTGGGACTGTTTGTGATGAGAAACATCTTCTTGCCATGATCAGCCAGCTTTGCTAACACCGCACGAGTTTGTTCGGCATAGCAGATGTATTTCTCTGTGAGTATTGGGGAAAATACAGTATTAATTGAAAAAGTTTTCCATCAGCATTTTCACTGCGTTCAACCAAGGGCTCAGAACATAAGGTTATACTTAACAAAGGCACCTCAGACAAGTGGAAATAACTCTTTCAAGCTTTAAAATTTAGAATTTGTAATCTTAAACAAGGAAGCCAGAAAGATCATTATACTACCAGTGAAAAAAGCTTTGATAGATGATCTCATTAGTACTTACCAATATCTGCTTCAATTGCTCTGTACATTATTCCTTTGATGTGGACATCCCTGATTGAATCCTGTCAGGAAAGCAACAGAGCACTAAAGAACTGAAAAATCTTTTCAAGTATAAAAACCACGCTCACTGCACAGCAGTAGTAATTCGTTTTTAAAACAAATCCTTTCTCTGAATTACACTTTCAACTTTACAGAAAAGCCATGTGATGTTCATTATATATATGTCACCACTAGACAAAGAGTAAGCCCGTCCTCCGAGAAACTAACTTCATGCTTTTGGGAAGTAAAAAACTGTATAGCACAGGAGCTGTTTTACATAACAACTGTGAAAGGGAGCTCAGAAGGGTGAAGCAGGGTGAAAGCCCTCTGCAGAAGCAGAGTCATCGCAGATTTCCAATGACCTTTAGAGCAGAATGCATTCCCTTCCTCTTGCAAAACAAAACAAAACAAAACAAAAACCCACAAAACAAAAGCTTTTAAGTGAGACAGATTTTAGATTATGATCACTCACAAATGCCCTGGTCATTTAAAAAAAGAAATTTATGAACAGATGAAAGAAGCTAAATGCTTAAGCAAAGTACTCATAAGGTGCTCTGAAAGCATTTGGCAGCTCTCCTGAGCCAGCTCTGCACCAGACAGCTTTGTTTAGGACAGTGGTACTGCCATTTTGGTACTTACATGGGGCATGTCCTAAAAATCCTCAAAAAAATGCCACTATAGGGCTTCCAAAATGTTGGTAATGCTGACCAGTACAGAAGTTTCTACAAACACTTCAGCAGAAACCACAAGAACTAGCCTTCTGACTCTATGTAACCATAGGCAGAAGACAAAATTACTCTAGAGGTCAAAAGTTTCTTAAAACCCAGCTAATCTGCTTGGGAAAGTGAGAAATTCAACATTCAGGTGCATCACATATGCTGCACATACACTACACAAGTTTAATACATGTCAACAAAGGGCCAGGAAAAGGTTTTGGATGGAAAGTCTGTGCAGACAAATACCATCAACTTGGGCATGACCTCTTGTGTTCTTTAATAACCATGACATAAAATCGTCTCCACTGCAGGATACATCCTGAGGAATCAAGAGGGTCAAATCACTCTAGTAATTATTACTAGATTTTTTTGGAGGAGGAAGAGAGGACAACAGGCAAAATAGATATGCCAAAAGCAAGAGAGAGCAAATGATCATATACTAGCAAAGATACATTGCCAGTACAACTGAAAGCTCCTAACTGGAATTCCCTATAGCCTCTTACGATTCCTGATAGTGAGAAAAGTATGTGTTTAATAACAATCAAAAGAAGCTTTACTGACATACAAGAGCTTCTTCACTTTTCCCCATCCACCCCTCAAACCTACAAAAAGAGCAACAACCCTAGAATGTCAGATTTAAGACAAATTTCAAACTATTCAATGTTTCTTTTCCAAGGTCTGCCTTCATTTTACTTACGTTTTTATGGTTGGATGGCAATAATTACTCTATACAAAACCTAAAAGTTGAGGTATTTCACTGGAGCTGACACAACAGGTTGAAGCTTCCTGAAGTGTTCAGAGAGAAGACACACAAATGTAGAGGTTTACCTAAATCTTCAAAGCTAGTACCTTGACATCTTTGTACAGATGAACAGGCTCATAGTCTATGTTGTTTTTCAGAAAATATTCATTCACACAAGAAAGGAGTGTCATTTCTGGCAAGGAAAATATATCCATGAATTGCTTCATTGTATTTCCATGTGAGCTCTACAGGGGTGGGAAGAAAAAAGAAGAAAAAAAGGTCAGGCATTTCTCAGATTAGAACATTTCCAGTATAAACACTTCAGCTTAGCTGCAGATACTCAGTTTTGTCATCACTGTTTGCACTGCTTTAGATGCTTTTCAAACTAACAGACTTTCGATAAAATAACTCCAACAAAAGTGTTGGATTAAGAATACTCAATACTCTTAATAGCAGTATTTTCATTCATAAACAAATAAAAGACAGCGCTCAGCTAAAAGTCAAGAGAAGGACTTAGGCCTTCACTGGAAGTTTGCACTTATATAAATAAGAGGCACTGGGTATTGTGATGGGGGTGGAGGATTTGTTATTTGGGTTTGGTTGGGTTTTTTTTAATAAGTGGAATACTAATTAGGACTGCAAAACAATTTACCTCCTTGAAAAGAAATAATAAAAAGTTGTAAGAATCTACAGTATCTAATGCAGTAACAGAGAAAAAGATTTCTAGTCTGCAAAAGCTGTAACTATAGTTAAGTTTCACAAAAGTAGAGAATCTCATCATACAAGAGCAAATACAAACCAAATACTTTTCAAGAAGAAAAGAAGTAAAGCAACCAGCACAAGCCAGCACACTGGTCAAGATGAAAAACACAGAATGGTTGAGGTTGCAAGGGACCTCTGGAGGTCACCTTGTCCAACCCCCCTGCTCAAGCATGGCCACCTAGAGCCAGCTGCCCAGGACCTTGTCCAGATGGCTTCTGAATCTCCAAGGATGGAGACCCCACAACCTCCCTGGGCAACCAACCCGTGCCAGTGCTCAGTCACCCTCACAGTAAAGGTAGCGTTTCCTGATGTTCAGAGGAAACCTCTTGTATTTCAGTTTGTGCCCATGGCCTCTTGTCCTGTCACGGTCCTTTCCAAGATCAAAGAAAGCATAGACTTGCAGAGACCAAGGCATCCCACAGGGAATGCCATGGCGATATTCAGAACTGCTGCAGAGACCAGATTTGGAAATTCTAAGTTCAGCTCCTTAAAATAAGAACAAGTGCAAGAACAACAAAATGCTCCACAGCACAATGAAGGGTCTTTCACGTCAATGTGGAATTAACATCCATAAGTAAAAGAAGTAAAATAAACTTGGTTTTTACTAAAAAGACAGCACCATTCTTCATTTAGGAAAGAGGAAGGAACCTACCAGCAAGATCAACCTTCCCCAAAAAGTCACATCCGAAACTTAAAAGTTTTATCTGCTATCATTCATCTTTTGTCAAATCCTCTTACTTATCACTCTGCCAGCTTGTATGCAAGAGATGCCTCCATACATTTACTTGTTGCTACATCAGCAAAGCCATTAGACCACCAGGAAGAAGTACATAGCCAGGGTAAGGCACCAGATATGGTTCATTTCCCAGCCTTTATCAGATTTGCTGTGCAACACTGAGCAAGTCACTTGATTTTCCTATGTTCTGCTTCTCTGTCTGTATGACTGGGCAAGGGAACAGTGAAAGAAGAAACTACAGCAAGTAGGAGAAAAAAAAAGATATTTGTCACTTTAGAGGGCAAAATCCACATCTAGCACTAAGTCAATCATGTATTGAGAAAATGTAACTAGTAAGAACAAGAACAAAATGCAAACATCGCTACCCCAAAAAATTTTTTTAAAGAGCAGTTTGTGGTTTTACCTTTCCATAAAAGTCACTCATTTGTTCTAAAGGGACATGGGAACCATCATACATTGCAATGACTTCTTCATCTGGGACAACACTGAGGCCTCTGGAAAACAACATTAGCTTTAATTCAAAAGTCAGATTAAAATTTTCAAGAATTACCAAATGAAAGTCCGACAGATTAACACTTAGATCCAGAACTTATTAAAATACTGATAATGTCATAGGAGCACTTTAGTCTGTAAGTTAAACCAGCATTTTTCCTTACAGAACAAGTAACATTTAACAGGCTGACGCACACAAAACACATTCCAATTTTAAGCGCTTTTTACTTTCTTATGGGAAAAGAGCTAATTAGTCTCCATTGAAACTATGCCTCAAGGGTTTGTAAGAAGTAGTTAGAGCTTCCAGTTTCTTAACACAAAGTAATTCCTCACTCTGCCTTTGTTTCATACAGCACTGATGATGTGATAGCGTTTAAACCAGATTATTCTGCAGCATGACCTTGAAGATTCAAGGGAAAGAAAAACATACACAACCTTTAACTAAATAAGAATTTCTTTTAAACTGTATCAACAGTTCAGTTTCCCAAAATTTAAGATTACTTGAAGGATTATTGACAAGTAATTAAAATATAAAAATATAACAACAAATGGGGAAGTAGGAGACATCATCTCTCTGCAGAGTTTCTTTCTATGAAGAGATTAAAGGCTTTGGTTTGGTTTTGAATGTTTAAAGTATCAAGCATCTTGCACTAAAGCATCTAAAACACTGCAGGCATGCAAACATCCTCAGCAGAGGACACAGAAGTGTTGAGGTTTTGCTTAAGGTTAAAGAACACAAATGAAAACCAGATCATCTGGTCCCTTTTTCCAAGCCTACTTATGGTGTTTTGCAGCCTTTTAAGACAGACAGTGATTTCAGTGCCTCCTTTTCTTGGTCTCACCCAGAAGTGTTGTGAGGCATTAAAAAGTAAATAAATAAATTAATAAGCCTAGTACTTTCAGTGTTTAACATCCACACCAGCTTTGCAGTGGAAGGGCATGATACATGAACTTCCTCAGGGCTGCTATGGTAGCAGAGTCCCGTGTTAACTAGCTCCTTTACTGCACTTCTCAATGCTACATCAACTTGTACATAGCTCTGTGCTACTGCTGGTAGGACTCCAGCATTCAAGTTCATGTTGTGCACAAACAGGGCAGATAGTACTTTAGTTTTGTAACATACAGAGTCCCACATCACCCACTCCACAGCAGTAAACACAAAGAAATGCAACCAAAATATTAAACATATACCAAGTAATAGGATCAGAATTGAGAAGGACTGCCTCATCCTCTAGTCTGCAGACAACTATGCCAAGTGGTATTTGAATACTGCTAAATAAAATGCTTGGGGATCAGGAGCTACTTAAGCACAAATCAAGAGAGGAAAATAGACATACATGAAATGCAGAGGGGAAGAGACAACTGTGTAGGCAAAGCTGCAGATTAGTTTTACCAGAAGACTCATAGTCGTGACACAGTTCACAGTCCAGCTGTATAACTACAAAGTTTATTTCATTCCACTGACAGCATGGACAGATGGCACCTACAGCAGTGCTCCCACCGCTGCTCTTGGAGACACACATTGTTAGAGGGATACCAGAACTGCTTACACCTCTCAATGCAAATGAGGCTGTACGCCTGGGCCAGTCCTGCTACCTTCAGCTGTATAATTGACTTACACGCACATGGAACACGCAGGAGGCTAAAACCCAAGAACTAAGATATGCAGCAACTGACAGCAAAACTCAGTGCTGGCATAGAAGAGAAAGGTAATATTTTAAACAAAATTAAGAGAAAGTACTGAGTGAAATGGTAGCTTTCACTCTCACTATCACACAGACTCACAAGTACCAAGATGTGTGGCCTAGCAGTCTGTCCAGAATTACTCTGAGTGACACAGGAGAACAAGGGACACCAGCTCTTCAACAAATCTCAACACCTCTCGAGTTTTCTTGACTGGTCATCATGTTCTGGCTTTGGATGTGTCTTTTGTACTAGGAGTTGACAGGAACTGTGATCTCCTGCCTCTTCATTCTGTCCCACTCTGAGTCATAAGGCAACGCTGCTGATGGACTCACCACTCATTCATCTTCTTGTCTAGGTAACTATACAGTTCCAGTCATACCACTGTTCTTCCCAACATCATCTCTCAAAGCCTTCAGCCTCTTTTTTGCTCCCCCATCCCCATACAGGTGTTTGCAGAAACAGCATGCAGATGTGATGATATCCTGATGACCAACCGATCCAGGTACCACCAACGCATGCCATCCTTTTGTCCCTTCTATCAACATTTCTTCTGGTGCTCTCACACATACACGTTTCCATTCATACCATTCTTAATATTTCTACTACATACCTCTACAGATAAATGTAGTTTGATTACTTCACCTAGCCTTTAATCTAGCAAACTAGCATTTTTCACAGTGAAAAATGTAAAAATGTGACAGCCTTTTTAAATGAATCTTACATTCAGTGACCTTCACACTGAGTTCTCTGGTTCCCTCCTAGCCCTGCATAAACAATTCCTTCAAAAACCACAGGAACAGGTTTTGTCAGTTTAAACACACAAGAATTATTCCACATCAGCATGTATAAAACACTCAAATAGATGGTATAAAGTTTCACTCAGACTCTGATGATACATACAGAACACATTGTTTTGGCAGCTTTAGATAGCTACTATGTTGACAGCATAAGCTGGACCATGCCACCTTGTTTCCTCTTTCATTTTCCTTCCCTTATTCTCCTCTCTCCCAAAGGGCATCTCAGACATAACTCATAAAATAGCAGATCAACGACTACAGCTGAATCATCTACCCATCTGCCTGACTGGCAAACAAAAAGAAGTAACAAGCACGTTATTATCATTTCATACTACCATATACAGTCCCCCATAGTAAATCAATTCAAGGTTACATTATCTTTTGGCCCCAAAAGAAAACTTTTTGTCCAATGACGTTAAGAAAGGTGCTCAGGCTTCTTGTTTAATATAAGATCTGGTACCAAGTGTGGTGTTCATGTCAGTCAAATGAGTACTGCTTCATTACAGCAAACTAAGCCATACTAAAAACTCTCCAGTCAAAGATCACATACAGTATGTCTAGGTCATGTAATGAAGCACAGCACAGAGATTGCCAATTTTACATCAATTCAGTAAACTGAAAAAGCGTCAGGCTGTGCGGGCACAAAGCAGTTGTGCTCCATTCTGTAAGTATGATGTGGTTGATGTGTCCAAATTTAAAAGCTCTGTGCAAACACAACAAGACCTCTCCAGTGTCTCTACAACCACACCGAAGTCATGCTAACAGGCACTCTGTGACAATTATTTACACAGAAAGCAACTGCAGAGAAGTCATCGGCATATTTTTAGATGTCTTTCAGCCAATTTAACAGCCGGAAACAAAGTGAGTCAGCACTATGTGACCAACCAGCTTGCCAACTTCCCCAGCTCTGAACTGGGGAATCAGCTGTACTCTATCAGTCAGTAAACGTGTGTGCATGTCTGTGTGTACACACAGAGGTGCAAAGAAACCCCTTTCCAGTAAGACTGCAACGTTCATTCATGTCTGTGCTTGTCAGGGCACTGTTCCTGATAAGAACCTAAGATGTACACTAATAAATGCAACTAAGAGATTAAAAAAATAAGAGTATACATTTTTATTATAAATAGGAAATAATTTTACCCACCTGTAAACTGTTCCCAGCTGAATGTAATGAAAAGCATCAATCTTCATTAATAATGCCTTGCGGGGGGGGAGGAAAAAAATCAGTTTTTATCATGTCAACTATTTGACATGAAATTATAAAAATCAAAGCAATTTTATCTATAACCTTTCTGTCTCAAGAATGCTTGAGCACCTTCAGTTCAACTTCCTTCATAGCTTCCAAAATACTTTTATTAATGAATTTTACCTAGGGCTTGCCAAATCACCAAGGAAACACTGTCCAGTGACCTGAGCTAAGTCATGAAGAAATAACTTTTCCTACTAGCAGATGCCTCCTTAGGTTTATTCTGTTGCACTCTATGTTGTCTTTCCCCATCCACCATGAAAACAGAACACCCAAAACATTTTCTACTTAAGAGCTATTAAAAAAAAAAAAAAAAACCACCCACACAAGCTTGCTATGAAAGAGAAAAATATGAAACAAAATCCTTATATATCAAGACAGAGTGAAAAGTTGGAAGACTTAAAAGCCCTATTTATTTTCTTTGGCTAGGTTCTCAGCACTACATAACTCATCACAAAGTTATTTATACATACCCGGTGCACATCATAATGAAGTCCTCGGATTGCAAAATTGGGATCATAATCATATTTTCTTATTTCTGCAGGATACTAAGAAAAGAGAGCAATGATTTGATTTTAAATTCATAATAAATAAAAAATTGCTTCTGTAGAATTTTAGAAGCCTAAGTTTTCTATGCTTCTCATTTTCACTAGTCATTAAGAGGCTTGTTGATAGGTTGGTGATATTTGCAGGAACATATGTAGAGCGCAAGACAAGTCAAACATTTTTCCAGAATTCAAGGTCATTGTTTCAAATCTAAGTGAAGAATGGTACCTAAAGTTGGACATCCAGGTACTCTGTAGTGATCACCTTTGAACATTAGCCTCTTGTTCAAAAAGTTATTTTGATACATGCACCTTTGAAAAACAAACAAAATTTTATTAACTTCCTAAAATTTAATAGCTGAGTTACCTTGCATTGTGAAGTCTCCCCATGAAACAGACTATACAAACAGTTTCCAACTCAACCTTCTAGCTAGAAACCCAAGAACATGCCCTAATTTACAGAGATACCTGAAATTTACTGTTCACTTCTATTGAAAGAAAAAACAATACATCATCATCAATATTAACAGGAGCAAAAAAAAATCTTTGGCAAGAAATAGAAGCACAGCTGTCTGTTTTGACTCCCTCAGTGTGGATCATACTCCTGATTTTAGACTGCTGAGTTTGAAATGTAGACCCCAGAGGTGTTTAAAGATATGGTGCACTGCAAATAAACACAAATGGGGAGGAAGGAAGAAGAGAATTCACAATGGCTAATGTTACCTGGAGAAGCCAGGCTCCCCTAACAGGGACTTTCCCTGAGGTACAGTGTGTCATAAAGATCAGATCCTGAAAGCAAGTTGGGCACTAAACCATCATGGCGAGTTGCCTCAGGAGAACACCACAGTGACCCAATCATGTTTACCCTGGACAGCATTTGTAACACGTTGTTTAGAGATGCACATAAATTCAATGTCTGTGTCATTTACTCTTTCCTCAGACTCTTTACACATAGCACAGGTACCTCACACCACCTATTAGAGAGTTTTCTAACATTTTTTCAGTACAAGCCCATTTTCAGTCAACTGTAATTTTGTCCTGCTTTAAGCACAGGTTAGCCATGAAAAAAATGTTATGTGTGTGCCTTGGGCTAAGGAGTTTGTTCGTTTGTTTTTAAAAGGTAAAATGCTTCAGTCATTTCTGACAAGGCCTGAGAAAACTATCGTTCCTTTGATTAACCAACTGAAAGGCAATCCTTCATTTCCCTCCCACAGGCTACAGCAGTCGTAGAACTTGACAAATGTATCTCGGGCACATTCTCCACCTTCTCTACAACAATCTCCATACATACGTGGCTAATTTACAAGCCTTCGGGGAAAAAAAGTAGATTATACAGCTTCAACAGAGGCTCTAGCTACGTTTACAAAAAATGAATAGCAATTTCTCCACAAAGTTTTTCTCTATGCTGAGGAGGACTTGCTCTGCAACTGCTTGTAGATCATGCCTGTACTGAGCACAGGCATCTACAGTTAAAGAAAACAGTCCTTTCTCCTAACTTCTGAACTATCATCCCTACTACCACTTTCAGAAAATGTGGGGGATGCTACTGATCTGAATGAGGAACAGCATCAGAAGCCTACAGACGGGTTGGGAAGATGTGTAGATTTGGCCAGGGAACATGGAAGCAGAAGAAAGAAGGGAAAACATCAGGGTAAGATATGGAATGTGATCAATTAGAAACTACAATGTTTTGGACATGCCCCAAAGCAGCCACATCAAGCATGAACACGGAAATTAATTTCTGACTTTTTCAAATTTCTGCATACTTGACTTTCCTACTTTACTTTATTCTACTAGAAGGCTGTCTCTTTGCATGCATGTCAGTACATATGAGAAAAAGATTGAGCCTACCTTGGCACATAAATCAAAGCCTCCTTACAAGCCAAACAGAAAAAAAAAAAAGAAAAAAAAAGATAAAAATTGCACTGTTTGCTTACCCCTCTACTATCTTGGTAGGAATACATATATCTGGACTGAAACAGCAGTCCAGATAAGGTGGCATAAGGCCTGTACATTAGGAAAGAAATAAAACCAAGAGGAAGAGTTTACATTCAACACCTGCTGCCACCTCCAAGATTAGCATTAAATTGATGTTTATTCTCTTGGACACACTTCAAAATTCCTTGCTCCCCACACTGTATTTTGCAATTTTTCATGAATTACGTTACACTGCCATGACCAAAACTGGCCACCTTTTAGGTTGACTGTGACAGTCATAATGGGCAATACTATCTAGAATTTTTTTCTAATGTTAAAGGCAAGAAAAACATTAACAGTATAAGCAGCTACAGAGATAGCATTAATGAAAACTCTTGTCCCTCAATAAATTTCAATGGGAGATGATATATTTCCACAAGCTGTCTCAAAAACTAATTACAGATTCATTTACTAGAACTCAAGAGAGTTTGAGACAAACCGGAAAGTTATTACTACCTGAATTCATTCAAATAGTAAAGGCAGAGCAACACTGGAATTTTTGTCTACAAGAATTAGTCTTGACTCCTACAGTAACACTGTTTTTTGCAAGAACCACGTAGCTTTAATCCTACAGAAATTGCTACCAAGACCTGCCAAAATCTTAGGGGGATCAAGTTGTGTATGCTTGTAGTGCCCATGAAGTTTTGTTCTTCTTCCAGGGATATTTATAGATGTTTATATATAGCTCCTAACCTTTAGACTCAAATACAAAAGTAGAACACCATCACCCATTCAGATTTAGGTTGTATAAAATATACAAGCAGTTTTATTAAGTAAGTTACTCTGTGGACTTTTTGTCTATTTTCCTGCAAGTCCTACAGTTCAATAAACTTTGCCTCTTTCAGTCCACGTTTTCTCCAGTCTTTTTCCCTGTAATGCCTTTAGTTTCCCAAGTCACCCATCTCTCCCCTGCTTCCCAACACACAGTAACTTCTCCCATCCCCAAACTATGCACCAACCAGCTCCAAGCTGCTTGGATGTCAACAGGTCACCGATGCAAACACAGTGCTTGGTGAGGCAACAGGCCAATGTCCCCTCTTCGTGGACTACTGAGCTGAAAACTTACTTGGGTATCTCTTGTATCCAGCCTCTGATTACAGCATCACTGTACACGCTGCCCCTTCAGCTAACTCAGCTGAAACACCAGGCACGTACAGCGCACCTTGCAAGTACACAGTGCAATCAAAGGCCTCCTAAGAAGTCAGGCTAAAAATATTTCATATGGAAGTTAATCACTGCACTCACAGCAGCGCCTAAAACAGAGTAATGGTAACTTTTAAGCTTATTTATTAGGGTGACTCCAATAATTGACAATCAGGAAAAAAACAAAACCCACACCACTACATTAAAAAAATAAAACAAACAAAACTCTATTCCTTAACAGTCATCAGATTGCACTCTGCTCAAAACTGCAGCTGAGAATAAACCAGGACTTCTGTGGTTCATATGTAGCTGTTGTACAAAATGTCTTATAAGGGAACCAAGCTAGGACTGAGGCATGAAAAGATGAGCTATGCCCTTCTTAGTTAGAAATTATTGATTATACGCTTTATTCCTAAGTTTATTGTTATTCCATTAATTTTACTTACCCGATGCTCATTAATAAGAAGATCTCGAGCAGCATTGAAGATCAGCGTGTGCAGATGTTTAGAATAAAAGACCAATGTGTAGTCATAATCAAAACCATAAATTTCAATGTCTGACAGGCTCAATTCATTGTTTGAAAAAATAGCATCTGGATTCAGCATGTTACTCATAATTGAAGGAACCAACTCTGGGAACAGGGGAGAGAAAAAAAAAAAGTTATACCAGCCTTATAGTTTCATTTAAATAAATACATAGAAATCCATTAGCAATTTCTAAATATAGATAAATGATGACGGAAACTATCAAACTAATTCATACCAATGAGGTAATCTTTAATATGATGCTATTGAAAATGCTGTCCCTAACTTGTCTTGGTGACCCATAGTTTTTATCTGAAGCACACTTTTCTCTGTACAGTTCAAGTAAGAGAGAAGATACGTTTTGGCATCTTGCTCATCAGAGCGCCCTAGACTCGATATATATAATTTTTTTGCTAACTCCATTAAGACACATATTACTGCTTTTGAAAATGAGCTTTGGAGTTGGAGGATTATTATTATTATAGGAGCCTTGCCTTCTCCTCCCTTTATTTGGTCCAGCTCCTGCCCCAGAAGCAGAACTGACGTTGTTTTAATCTGACATTGCTTTAATTTCTTTTGCTTCACCATTTCAAGGTTACCACATTACTCAGTTTCAACTCAGTAAGTAAACTTTATGCGATTGCCATACCTTCCAAACAACAGTTACATACACATCGCTATGCTTATTAACCTTCTAGCAAATCAGGAAACCAAAAATATTCTGCTTATTCTCCACACACATGTACCTACCGTGTGTAAATCACTTCCATTTTTAAGGGTATGTTTCTTTTGATATTTGTCTGAAAAGTATACTGGGAAGTTAAGACCACTTACATAGAGCTGTAATATATTTAGTAACTTTAGGACCAACACCAACCTAAGTATTAAGGATGTTTGTATTTCTTGTTTAGAAAACTTTAAGGAGCAACATTAGGAGGCTAAATGCTACCCTCCTGGAAGCATAAAACATGAGCATGTTTTCCTTCCTTCCCTTCCCATACATGATCTTTATCCCTACTAGTGGAAAAAAGGGGAGTTTTCATCTTAACTCTGTGCTTGGAAGGGTGAGTTTAAAGGGACTATGCTTTGTTTGGTTACTTTCTACGTAAAAGTCTAGAAGGAATCAGTCAAGCTTATCTCAGCATCTTCAGCTCTGAGGACAGATAGACTATGTGCTCCACCATGGGAGGAAACCATCTCAACAGGGCAGGTAGGGGTGGGGATTCCAGATCTGTTAGAAAGATAGCGCTCCGTTTTGAAAACTGGCCAACTCATAGAAAGGGAAATAACATTTGTAAAAGCAATGCCTTAGACTGCTGCACAGCTGACAGGCAGATACAATAAGAAACTTCTACAAATGCCCAATAACAGACAGTAACCTGAAACCATTCAACTTCATCAGATGCAGATATCCAAGTCTTTTAATTTTTAAGAGAGAGAAATAACAGCAATTTCATAGAGTTTAATTCCAAGTTTCAAATAAAGTCCAGCATCTCTTTCACCAAAAAAGATCCCAGGAGTTCCCCATGCTTAATCTGACATGAAGAGCTGTATCTTTCATTTCAGGGGATTTAACAAAATAAGCCTCAATCAAAACATGAGCTCCTACTATCTCCAGTCACTGCTTATACTCATACAGGAGACAAATGTTATTTTCAGTTGAGGTAACAAATAATCAAATGCAATCTGACATGCTGCTATTAAGGCAAATACTCTTACTCCATAAAAAGGGCCATGAATCATTTAATTAACTTGAAGTCATAACCACAGTTTTGAGTGAACTTCCAAAATCACGTTACAACACCCATTTCTGTATTATAGTTAAAGTTTTTTTTCAGACTTCAATTGTGCAGCCTGGTGAGTCAACACTTGTTTTAAAAATAAAGATATTTTTATATAACAATATTTCAGATTAAAAAAAAAAAACTTGACTAGCGCCTGTCTGTTTTCAGACAGTATAAACAGTTTGTAGCTCTTAGATGTTCTGGCTGGCAGACAGCATCCCAAGTGCTATAAACCTTGGGTCAAAAATCAGGACAGCTTTGTCATCCTAACACTGTAACTAAGTGAAACGTCACATACTTGAAGCCATTGGGTGACTTCGGCTGTAATAAAACATTCTGAATTATTCTAGAAGCACTTGCCTCGTCTTTCGCCAACCCACACCCACTGACTGACTTACTGTCTCTTAACATTACCCTACTCTCTAACCTCAGCTCTTAAGTATTTTCTGGGTGTGGTTTATTATAAGAAAAAGTTAATTCCAAAAACAGGAAAAGAAAAAAAGATTCAAAATAAAAGGCATTTACTCTCTTCCTCCTAACCCTCATCCCACCCTCCAAAGTCCATAACATTCTTCTGAGATCTGTAACATGGCTTCTTATTTCACTCGTGAAACGTTGCCACTATTTTATGTTTGCAAACACTACGTTTGTTGCCAGCACAGTCAAGCCCCAGTTCATCCTCAAGACTATGAAGTGCAGGCTGATACACTACATATATACACTTTTTTTTTTTTTAAGGGCAAAACATGCAAGACTACAGCATTACCCATTGCAACTACAGGACAAGCTTGCCCACCTGACATTGCAGAACACACGCTGCCCCTTTCTCTTTCGGCTCTCTGAAAACATCACATAGTCAAGCACCTTGGTAATACTCTTCCCATCGGAGCAAGGGCAGAAGCAAGCAAGCTCCAAGCAAGTATTTGGCCCTTAACTTTTTGCCTTGGTGGGCTGAAGAACAGAGCTTCCCAGAGACACGCATGTATCATTAGCATTTTACCCTGGCTTCAACACTTCACGGTATTTTAGTGGAACCACAGACAAAACGAAAAGAGTCATCCGAGACCTCACAGCATTTCAACTTTCTGGAAGAGCAGCCTGTTGCGGAAAGCCCCTCAAACAGACGACCCATCTCCTGATTTTTGTTTTTACGTTTGCTTTTCTCCACACCCCACACATCCCCAACGCCAGCCACCTCGAGCCACGCCGTAGGAAAGCCGTCTCCCCCGAGACACCTGGGGGCAGCTACAGCCCCGCTGGGTCAGACGGCGGGTGGTCTGGCGGGCTGGGCCCCTTCTTCAGAGCAGGGCAACAAGAAGGGGCAGCCGCCCCCAGCAGCGCCTGTCCGCCGGGTGCCCGGCCCTCAGGACCCACCGAGGCGACGGCCTTACCCAGTTTGACACTGGCAGAGCACTGGGGACCACCACAAGGGAGAGCGCTTCCTCACCGGAGCCGCGACGACCGCGCGGGCGGTCGGACCCACGGCAGCTCACCACGGGGAGACCCCCCGCCCCGGAGGACCCCCCAGAACCCCTCACGCTGCCGCAAGGGCTCCCACAGCGTTCGCCGCTCCTCCTCTCCGAGCCGCCAACACGCGTTTGTTCGCTTCAGGACCGGCGGCACGCCGACCTGAGGTAGCAAGAGGAGGAGGAGGAGGAGGATGGCTGGCGCGGCGGGGGGAGCCGTTACCGCTGCCGCCCGCGGGCCCCGCCGCTCACCCTTGGTGACTCTCTTGGCCTCCTTGTAGCGCGACCACAGGTAACCCTTCATGTCGGGCGGCGGCGCCTGCCGCCTCTCCTGCGGGGCC